ACTAGACTCCTCCTATTATCAAGTCCCCACCACATACCCCATTACAGTCACTGTCCATCAGTGTAGTAAGATGCTATAGAATCACTACTTGTCTTCTCTGTGCTATAATGCCTTCCCCTTGCTCCACCCCCTACATTATGTGTGCTAATCGTAATGCCCCTTTTGCCCCCTTATCCCTCCCTTCCACCTATCCTCCCCAGTCCCTTTCCCTTTGGTAACTGTTAGTCCATTCTTGGGTTCTGTATATGTTACTTTTTATTGACACATTAAACAACAAATTCCAGCAGTAGATCTAATAACTACCAGAATCTTCAAGTAGTGCTGAGCATAAGTAATACTTCAAGATATCTGCAACAACTATAATATGTGAAATAGTAGAGATTTCTATTATTAACAGCTGCATAATACTACCTAATATGGTATACTAATATATCATCTAAAATACCTCATAATAATCTATAATACTACCTTGTCAATTGCCTGCATTCAAATCTGAGGGAACTACTGAATGTCAGCTAATGGTTAGTGAAAATAAAGATGTGCCTTTTTCTTCCCATTTAAGTTCTAAGACCCCTGCTTCTATCCTTGGATGACTCCTTGTAGATCTCAGCTTAAGAACCTCTGTGAAAGGAATGTGCTAATTAGAAAGGGAAATAAAATGCTCCGCAAAGTGTCGATCAGCCCCTGTAAAGTACAGTGAAAAGCACAAAGGTGGGGGGAGCAGGTGCCTCATCTGTCCCAACTGTGCACAGCACAGGTCGGGAAGAAAAGGGCATTTGAGGAAGGACGAACCTTCCTTCAACCTTCCCCAACCCCCAAAAGGAGAATAGGATGAGTAGAATAAAGAATGCAAAATAAAACTAAAGAAAATAGTTTGGGGTCCAATTATGGCCTTTGTATAACTGTTCTAAGGAGTTGTATTTTCATGCAGCAGTTATTTGCAAGATGTCTGGGGAAAACAGCAATATCAAAACCAAGCTTTATTACATGTTTTTCTAACAGCAACGTGTTAAGAGTCCCTTTCATTTAGCAAGTATTGATTGAATAACCTGCTGTGTGCCAGACCTTTTACTGGAGAGAGACAAGCTGAGCTCATGATAATACTGTGTAATTGTCTTATAATGGGTGATATGGGAATTCAAAGAAGAGATCCTACTAAAACTGGAAAGCAAGAGAAAGTAGAGACAGTATGTCTTAAGTGAAAAAGGAGTGAGGTTTAGACAAAACTAGTTACAACTGGCCCTTTGGTGAAAGAAAATAACAGCTGGACACTGGGGCAGTTTGGGGGAAGAGATTACTTTTGAAGACTAAGAGAGGAGGTTAATGAAGTACATAGCAGCCAGATCAAGGAAGGTCCTTGTACACTTTGCTAAGGAGTTTAGACTTCTATGCCTTTTTTCCCAAGTGTGTTTGCCTGAATACTGTTGTGCAGAATAGTAAATGTAGGTGTTAAATGTAAAAGGCTTTTTGTGGCCAGCTTAGCTTGGAAAATGCATAGTTAATGTTTATATTCCAGTCTGAGATACAGGTTTTAGACTTTGGTATGGTGGTGTTTTGTTATGTCAAATACTGTTGGAAAAACTTGTAAGAATATTGGTGCTCTTTCTGAATATGTATTTTGCTGGTGTATTTTTTAGTAGATAGAACAAAGAATATATAGAGAACCTTATGATTCGAGTTGGTGTGATTCCAATGCCTAGTTTTCTTAACAGGTTTTCTTACCATTGCTCCCAGAAAGAATGTTACACATTTCCCTGACCAAATTCTAAGCAAAGTTAAGGATCCATGAACATATTTCTACTTTGACTAGGTTAGTATAGAGACATTGTGCTTGTGAAGATAAGATATGATTATCCTCATATATTTTCAACTTTATCTTTTATAGGATTCTATTTTCTTCTGTTATCGTGAGCACAATTAGTTTATGGGTTAAATACTTCTAAAGTAGTTTGTCATCAGTTTAGAAGCAATTCTTTTTGTAGATTGGAAGCACCAGTCTGAATGAAAGTTTGTGAAAGAATTTGAGCTAGTCCACAAGATTTGGTTTGCTTATTAAATTATGCAAACTATTTTCATCTAATGATACTAAGACCTAATATAAACAGCACATGCCTATTAACCTCCTCCCAAAGAAGAATCAGAAGTGTTGCATTTAATTATTTAACTTTGTCAAAACAATGTCAGTTTACACTAGTTAACTGAATGAATGATAAACTTAGAGTCCAGTGAAGAAAGAATGCAATAAACCCGTTTCTTAGTGACATTTCTGGACAAATAATTCCCACCATAGTTTTATCATACTAGTTCCATACTCATTTCTAACTGCTTGTAGGTTGCCTTTGGAATTTCCACCAGGCTTAAAACTAGTCTCAGTAAGTCTTTAGACCAAATTCAATAAAACTATATTCATTGTTTTTCCCACCTCTAACCAAACTCTTACTTCCTCCATTCCCTGTCCACATCCATTATATCCCCTACAACAGAAATTTGGAGGTTATCCTGGAACATCTCATCTCATTGTTATGTCAGTTTTGTGTCCCAAGTATATTAACTATGTCTGTGCTGGCTCATTATGGGTGTCCTTAATCCTGTGTCTCTTCATTGTGATTCATCTTCCACACTGACATGTGAGTTCTCTTCCTAAAGCCAAATGTATTTGTATTCCCCAGTTAAAAATCTTAAGTGGATCTTCACTCACAGAATAAAATTTCACACCCTAGCCTAAAATAAAGATGCCACCTTTTCCAGCCACATCACTTGCCACTTCCATGTTTGCACTCTGCAGTTTGTTCTTGCACAGCTCAGACTATCTTCCTTAGAGTCAGGAAGCCCAGGTTCAAATCCTCACCATAGTATAAACAATGACAAGTTTCCTAGTTGTTCTAAACTGTCACCTCCTTTCCTATAACACAAGGAAGGGGAATAATTCTTCACCTGTTAGATGTGTGGAGATTAAAGGAGGTATTTTTTGTGACTAGTGCTGGTATAGATTAGCACTAAATATGTGGTAGCTCTACTTGTAGAAATGCAAAATGGTATAGATGCTTAGAAAATAGTTTGTTGGTTCCTCCAAGTGTTAAACATGGACTTAGCATATGACCCAGGAACTCTACTCCTATGTATATTCCTAAGAGAAATTAAAACAGGTCTGCACAAATCTCATGCATAGTTGTAGCAGCATTATTTGTAATAGCCAAAAAATGAAAACAGTCCAAATATTTATCAACCGATGAGTAGATAAGCAAAAAATGGTATATCCACAAAATGGAGTATTATTCAACAGTTTAAAGGAATAAAATACTGGCATGTTGCACAGCATGAATCAACCAGCTAAGGGAAAGAAGTCAATTATAGAAGACCACATGGCATATCACTCCATTTATATAAAATGTCCAGGGTAAGTAAATCCATAGAGCAAGTAGTGGTTGCCAGGGGCTGTAGGGAGTGGGAATGGCAAGTAAATACTAAGGAGTATGGGGCTGCTTTTTGGGAGGATGAAAATATTCTAAACTTGGATTGTGGGGATGGTTGCACAACTCTGAATACACTAAAAGCCACTGAATTGTATACTTTAACAGGTGATTTTATGGTATGTAAGTTGTCCCTCAGTAAAATTGTTTTTAAAAAAAGAGGTAGCTCTTCTTATACCTGTTTTTTCAGTTTCCTTAAAAGCTTCTCAGGGACAGTCTGTCATCTGTATATTTGCATCTAGCACACAGTGCCTCATGTACTAATGCTGAATAGACATTGAGGCATGAACAAGCCTTCATAGCAAGCTGTTAGGGCTTCAGTTGGGGGGGAAATGGGTGAAATCTGTTGAAACTTACTCAAATTAGTAAAGTATGTCTTTGCAGCTGTTTTAAGTTCTTGTGCCAAAAAAAGTGACATTAGAGATAGGAGTTAATAACTCAGTTGTCTGTTTTCCCTCCTAGGATACACACCTGCTAAAATTGCTTAAAACTTTAGAAGGACATGCCTATGGTGTTTCTTACATTGCATGGAGTCCAGATGACAACTATCTTGTTGCTTGTGGCCCCGATGACTGCTCTGAGCTTTGGCTTTGGAATGTACAAGTAAGCTAGTTTCGTCCTTGGTTTAGTCTTTTAAGTCAGCTATGGTTATACTGCATATATTCATTGTAACTTCACTCTTGATCTGTAGCACAGAGCTGTTCAACATGAATTACCATGATGTAGCTCAAGATAACTCATCGAATGGAATCCATGTGTCCAAATTTATGAATTTAAATATTACGCTGAGCATAGTAGAGTTTTTGAAAGAATGGCCAATGAGTATTTTCAGGAATGTTGTACTTTGTACTGTAGAATTCATACCTAAGAAAAGATTTTACGGTTGTTTCATAGTTTCATAATCGTCCACAAAGCTTATCTTTTCAAGTGTGAAAACATAGACACTAAATCAGATGTTCCATTCTGATGGCAGTCACAGCATTTCCTTCCCTATATTAATATTCCAGTCCCGTCTAGTAAGTTAAATGATGTCTTCAGTACTTATTAATAAAGGGCTTTATTACTGTTTCTGAATGAAGGCTTGAAGTCTGTCCAAGGTCCCATTTTAGAGAAACTCAACAATAAGTTCACTCCATTATCTTCAAACTATTTTGGAAAACTTGTACTTAACAATTTGATTTTTTTTTTTTTCCTTCTACAAACTGACTGGTTAGGTGAATTTTTGTTGTTTTGTTAACCATGCAAGGGCATGGTCCAGACTCTGGTTTGGGTGTAGAAGCATTAAGTTGATGGGATTAGGTTTTAAGTTTGGGGACCTATAAAAAAGTTGATTTTTACCAAGAGAGTGAAAATAAAGCTCCACAGAAAATGACTCAAATAATAAAGATGGTATAAAAAGAGAATTAATACTAACATGTACCTGAGGATGATATGCAATAATTCTAATTCTGCAGTACGATTTTTTACTGCTCGATCATTTGTTTTAGCCTCAGCTTTTTATCAAGAAAATTTGCAAATATTAAGAAAAGTTGAGAGTACAATGACCATACTCCTACCACCTTAGATTCAACAGTTGTTTATTAGCATTTTTTGTTGTATTTTGTATGTACTTACAGACATGCATACATAGTTAGATATAGCTGTATCCAAACATTTGAAAGTAAATTACGAATGTATTTTACCCCCAAATACTTAAGCATGTATCATCTTAAAAATAATATTCACCTGTATACCAAATGCCCTTATCTAAGAAAATTAACTGTAATTCTCTAATATTCATTTTATAAAGGAAAATCCCCAGTTCTTCCCAAATGTCTTTACACCATTTTTATCAAAACTGTTGAATCAGCTTTGTGTTGTAATTGGGTTGGGTTAGCAGAGCACATAGATGGCTTTGACTTGATGCAACAGGCGTGTAGTGAATCTGAGCAGAAGATAATTTTTTTCCCAGTAAAGCTTTTTTTCTCCTCAAAGGGAAGAGGCATGTAGTCGTAAGAAAGCCTTTTAATTCATAGTGCCTCTGTAGTCTTCCTTTGAGGTAATTTTGAATTTCTGGACAGTTAAACTGTGTCCTAGCTTAACTGTTTGTTGTGTAGTGTATTACTTTACAGACTTGTTGTAAAAGGGTGGTCATTTTCAGTCAGTTTTCAAATTGTTCTTTGTTTTTAGGTAGCTTCCTAATTAATAACCTTATACAATCCTGAATGTAACAGAAGAACAGACCGTTTCTGCCTTCAGAACTTAGTGTATTAACATAGTAGTGAATAGAAAATGTTGAGGATCTACCTGTGGTTGCATGTGTATTTGCGCTTCTAAACTTCTATTTAACTTTCTATCAAGCAACCCAAAAAGATAAATAGATGAGAGCAGTTAACACTATGGGAGAAGGATTTAGGTTTAGGCCTTCTGAATTTTTTTTTTTTTTTTTCCAGTGTACGGAAGACATCTGGTTTTCTATTTTTGTGCCCTCTTTGCTTTTATTACTTGGCCTCATTTCCTGATCAGACAGTTTGTTTTCACTTTTTTTTTCCCTGATTGCCCATTTCTCACAGGAAAATTATGCCCGTGTGCTTTTTATTATACCAAGGGCAGCTCTTATCTCTCAGATCCTGTTTCTAGTCCTTGAACAAAATGGAATGAAGACTAGATTAAATGTATGTTGTCTGCCTTCTAAGTTGAATAACTTAGAAAAAATAACAGGAGGATATCTTAGGTTTGTAGCCACTAAATAGTCTTGCTTAGTAGGGAATATTTTAAAATAGCTGTACTAAACAGTACAAAAGTTCCTTTTTTCTGTTACTTTTAACTGAAATAAAATTACATATCATAAAAATAATTTTCATTTCTCTCATCCCATCTTCCCTACTACATTTTGAGCATCTCAAACATGAAATTTAACATTATTTAGACTGCCTATCACTGTCGCCTAGTTTAAGGCCATAGTTTTTCTACCCATTAATCAATGTTCTTGTGGAATTGCTAATTTCACCAACTGTGGTTTTAGAATAAAATGTTTGAGGAGAAGTGGAAACTCAGGTATGTAGCCTTGGGCTTCTCTTCATCTTGGGAAAAATTATGTTTTCTTTTATGAATGTAATTGATTTAAGATGAGGGTTTTATCAGAATTTATTCATCCTGTTCTTTGGGTCACCCTGTGCCAGACATTGTTCTACTCCTGGGTTCTTCTTCAGTCTCTCTCCTGAGTTTCGTTAGTCTTTTTTTGTAACACAGTTAAAACAGTTCATTTTCTAATTAGGAATACAAAACTCCCCAGATATACCAGTTATCAGGTTTTTTTTTTTCTTTAGAAGGGTATCTTGAAGGTCTTAGCCACAGTTTTATTTCTTTGTAGACGGGAGAGCTAAGAACAAAAATGAGCCAGTCACATGAAGACAGTTTAACAAGTGTGGCTTGGAATCCAGATGGGAAACGCTTTGTAACTGGAGGTCAGCGTGGGCAATTCTATCAGTGTGTGAGTATTTGGTGCCCCCTTTTAAATGTCAGATCGTTTAAAAGCAAATTTTGTTTTTTTAAGTAAAGAGTTCATTGGACTTGATATATAAAATGTGCTGTGTGAAAACCTGCTTTGTCTCTCTAGTTAAGCACTGTCCAGTAGAACTTTGTGGGTTTTTCTTTCTTTAATGATGTCAAATGTTTACATAAAGCACAGGCTTGAAGTTTAGTAAAATTTAAAAATTGTTTTACTAAACATTTTGTTCTTATAAGCAAGTTTCTAAGGTATAGGAATGAAAAGATTCAGTATTTAATTTTCTTTGGGGTCTTTAGCCCTTTGAAATTTTTGTATCAAAAAAAATGCTGAATTTCATGAACAGACTCTTAAATATTTGAAGAATGAAAGTGGTGGTAGGTGCTACCAGCAAGCCTTTTTTAGTCTTTATTGAAGAAATCTTCTGATCAGTACCTACCCTGTTAATCCTGGATTGTTGGGATGATAAAAATGAGTAATTGGCAAAAAATCTTAAAGGACAGGGCAGACTGGGTGCACACATAGGGTCATTGTTGTCTCCTAGATTCCGTGTCTCCTGTCACTATCCAGCATGGTTCCAGTAGGCACTTCCCAGGTTTATTTTTGAAACTAAAGTAATTAAGATAATCCCATCAAATCATTGTGTATAGCTAAAGATCACACAAAGACTTTTATGTGCCATTCAAATAATTTCTTTCATTAAGCTGGCCGTGAGACCCATGGAATCCAGTGTCATACTATCTCAGCATGTTTATAAGCCATTAGTTCTTATGTACCCCAAGTTGTCCCAACACTATTTATTGACATGTTGATGATTTTCCTGTATTTTAGAAGCCATCTCAAGTAGTCAATATTATTTAATACAGGACATTACTATAAACATTTTAATGTATTTCTGGACTTTCTATCTATAAGATAATACTGTACTGCTTTGGGGGTTTTTTATTTTGCTTTTTTGTGGGGGCTATAATTGACATACTAGTTTCAGGCATACAACGTAATGAGTTAGTATTTGTATACATTACAAAATGGTCACCACAGTAAGTCTAGTTAACACCTGTCACCATATATAGTTACCAAAAAAATTTTTTTCTTGTAAAGAGGACTTTAATTTTAAGATTTACTCTTAGCAACTTTCAAATATGCAGTACAGTATTATTAACTCTAGTCACCATGCTGTACATCACAGCATTGAAGCCATTAGTTCTTAATTATCTGGCTACAAGATGCCCGCGTACATTTCTGCTGATGTTGCCATTCCATACAGTGTGTAAACTTTCAAGATACAGAACTTGGTAGTTCCCTAATCTGTAAAATGAGAATGGGAATGCCTCTCAGAGCTTTGAATATTCAGTAAGATAATGAAACAATCCTAAGAGCTTTGATCTATAGAGTACATGACAAATTTGGTGAAGTTTTTTAAAATACCATAACAGATCCCTGAAGTTCTGTAAAGCTGTAATTAACATTTCAGTAATCTTTTTCCATATCACAACTTTGGAGATTATAGGACAAATCCAGGATAGTGAATTCCAAAGAAAATGTTTTAATTTGAGACTTGACTTGGAACTTAAAGATTCTGCCTTTCTTTATTATTTGTATTTATCCACGCATGGCAGGTTATTGAAGAAGGAAGACATTTACAGAGGTTCTCTCTGCCCCCCACCCCCGGGGTATTGCTGCAATGAAATTTGACCTGTATTCACATGTTCCATGACTAACAACACTTATGGAACAATTAGGCTGAGATCAGTCTCAGGAAAGAATAAACTTACTACAAGAAGAGATTACTGAGAGGTTTTGTGTTTCTTTGCTTCTCAGCACTGTTCAGTAACAGAGTTAATATTGGTCCTCTCCTTAGGATTTAGACGGTAACCTCCTGGACTCCTGGGAAGGGGTGAGAGTGCAATGCCTTTGGTGCTTGAGTGATGGGAAGACTGTTCTGGCATCGGACACACACCAGCGGATCCGGGGATACAACTTTGAGGACCTTACAGATAGGAACATGTAAGTACTCTCTGTACCCATGAAGCAGCAATTATCAAACAAAAAACAATTAATAAACAAAACTAAGTAATAAATTAAAATGTGTACATGGAACTCGTGTTTTCAAAGGAAGAGTTTTCCTGTGGTTTTGCTTTGATTGGTAAGCATTTGCATTGAGGTACTAAGTACCTCAGGTGGTACTTAGTAATCATTAACTCATTTTTTTTTTAATTGAAATACAGTGTAATAGTGATTATAGCCAAAGTTCTGGTGTCTAAGCTAGGATATTTTATATGTCAATAATTTGAAAGTCTTAATTCTTAGTATGTTGCTTTTGACAGTTTATTTTCTGGTTACAGAGTACAAGAAGATCATCCCATTATGTCTTTTACTATTTCAAAGAATGGCCGATTAGCTTTGCTAAATGTAGCAACTCAGGTAAGCTTAATAGTGAAGTTCTCAGGAAAATTTAGGTTAGTTCAAATTTTTATTGATTTTTTTTTTTTTTAGTGTCTACATAAAACAAGTATTTCTAAAATATTTCTAAAAATTTTAAATTTTACTACATGTGTTTGGTTTATAAATGTGTAGAGTCAGCCATAAATTTATCAGAATGTTGGCATTTTGCTTAAATAGAAAATGAGTATGTTACATCAGACAAAGGGGATGGTCACTAGTTTTTTTAAATTCTTTTGAGTTAAGGTAAAATAAATACCTAAATTCTTTTTTGCTTACAGGGAGTGCATTTATGGGACTTGCAAGACAGAGTTTTAGTAAGAAAGTATCAAGGTGTTACACAAGGCTTTTATACAATTCATTCATGTTTTGGAGGCCATAATGAGGACTTCATCGCCAGTGGCAGTGAAGGTAAATTGTGTCGCTGTCAGTTCACATATTTTGATGGATTTAAAGTCCGATAATTCTCTCAACTTGTGAAAGTAGTCATGTCTCCAAGCATATTAAAGCTGTCAAAAATTATGTGAGTTATTTATCCAGTACACTGTTTTTTTCCCCTTTTTTGGAATTGACTTGAGCCCTCCTATTGTTACAGAATAATAACCCCTATTCTGGCCTTGGAGGCATATGTGATGCATGTACCAAAGTCAAGATTTAATTAAGTCATTACTTTTTCATACACTGACTTGTGGTTTCACACGAGACTGATGGTTTTCAGAGACTGGTATCTAAAAAAAGTCAATGTTAATTATGATGTTTTACCTAAACTTGGACAAAATTGACTACAGTTACATCTACAGTATTTCTTTAATGGCCAAATAATTTAGTTTTAGAAAAGCTGAAATTATCTAACTGTCTCTACTACCTTTTTGAATAAACTTATCTCCAGTCTAAAACATCAGCATTTCAGGCAGGCATATGCCTAAAGTACACATTCTATTTAAAATACAAATTGTTCATAATATGCAACCACAGATGAGTAAGGAGTATTAAAAGTTAGTGTACTTTTTGAGGTGATTGAAACAAATAGTGGCAAACTTTAATTCACATTTTTCTTGAGTATTCACTATACTATTCTAAGTTCTTCATTAGCAAGTGATTTATGTCACTTTTTAAAATACTGGTTCTGGTTTTACTGGATAGACCAAGGAACTGGATGATGTTGGTAAACACTTTTGGTAGTGTTCCATGTATTGTAGAAGATGTGTATTTACTGTCTCTGTCTTGACAAAAAATTGATCTCAATAGTGAAGAGATTCACAAAGTGACACATGAGTTTTTCCTTGGTATAAAAGGTGTTTTTAGGGATTAGAACAGAAACATTTAGGGATTAGGTTTTAACATGAAGCATATAAATTTATTCTTTCATTCTCTCCCCAAAAAAAATCTGTCAGATAAGAGTGGTTTGTTAGGTAACAATTACGAGTTCACTTCTTTCCAGTCAAAAATTATTTTTTACCTGTTTGTTTAATCCTATGTTATTTTCTTCCAGGTTCTCTGTTGGTTTCTAATTTGATGTATTCCATAACATATCTGATGATTCTAAATGTATTAGGCTCTCTCCACCTGCTTTCTAGCTCCTCCCACTCTAAGATCTCTTTCCTGTGCTCTATTCAGTCTGCTTTGGTGGTTGTTTTCCCCTCTTAATTATGCCTCACAATCCCCTATCGCTTTTTCTAAAAATACTCTGTACCCTAGAAGTGCTTAAAAATATGTATGGCTGTCATTATCCCTGGTGATGCCAACCTTCTTTTAAAGCCCAGACTGACTTGGAACCAAGCCTGATGAATAATGTGATTAAGCCTCATGCTGCTCTTGAGGGCTAAAGATGAAACATAACTTTGAAATGAAGAGATCAGTGTTCTCATGACTCAGGTGGCTTAGGATGCTTGTAAGGTGTTGAGCGCCAAGTGGATAGAGGAGAGCATCTACCGTCTCCCAAGGTGACCACAGTAACCCATCTGTCACTTATTTGCCAGGAATATATTTGGAGGATCTTAAAAATCCCCAGTTACATGAATGCCAGTATAAAATAGAGCATTTAGAAGTATTTCCCTCAAAAAATTATGCCATTTTTCAAGGTTTTTCATTATGCTGGAAGTATAGAGAAAGACTTATTTTTTTATCTTTGCATAAGTGCTGGATTCCCTAGGTGAATGAGCAAGCAGAGCTTGGTCATAAAGCCTGTCATTCTGATCTTGGCTACCTCAAATCTTACTTTGTGCTGCCTCTTCAGCATATAATCCTCCTTGGATATGTGCTCACAAAAGCATTTTCCTCCACATAGAGGCAGAATTCACTTGCATTCACATTTTCCAAGCCTGTAGTCTTTCTTCTCTGTGGACTTCATAGTAGGAGAAACGTACGTAATCTGTTCTTGTTTCCTCTTTCTTTTTTTTTCTAATTGCATTTTATGCAAGGAAAGACAATTAACAGATACCTTCTAGGAAATATAAAATGAGTTCTTCAGTGAATGTCTTTTAACTTTTGCTTCAAATACACAAAAAAATGTTCTGATACAGTCCTAGCTTCTTATCTTTATGTCAGAAGTTTTGAAGCCAGGGCATATTCTTTACCACAAGTTACCAGCTCTTCCCTGCTCCAGAGTTTCCTCAGCTGGCAGCACACCCCCTGAAAGTTCCCACACTGACCATGTAATTAACTGACAGATCTTCAGGCCATACACTCCCTAACTCAACCCAGATTCTCCTTGTGTTTTAAGAACCATAGCCTGTATTCGGTTAACTCTTTACGGGGATATACAGTGCTCACTCTGTGCTAGGCTCTGTTCAGAATGTACCCTCAGCATGATCTGGTAAGCACAGCTCCCCCTTATAGGTGACAAGTTGCAAAGAATGGACAATGTGTCCAAAGTTACAGGGCAGAGCAGTCAGTGGTGGAGGGTGTGAACTGGGTCTTCTGACTCCAGAGCCCACACTCTGAACTGCTACTCTGTATGTAGATGAGTGTTTTGAAGTTTAGTTTATCCCAGAGAAACATAGTTCTTGCTTGGGGGTTTTTGGTTTTTATGGTCGCACCATTAGATTGTAAATAGTCTCCTACAGAACCATTTCATGGTGGGACAGTTGTCTAGACCCACTAGTAAGCCCAATAGGGCCCCCTGGATTTCAGTCCCAGTGTCATCATTTCCTACTGTTAACCATGAGCAAGCTACTTAAGCTCGCAGTGCTCCAGTCACCAACCATGGAACAGGGTGAGCACAGTTCCCACCTCACCTCAAATGGTGAAGACAAGGTAACTTACATAAAGTATTTAGTGCCTAGGACATGGTAAGCACTCAGTAAAGGTTTAACTATCATTGTCTTCATTGATGTCTCTCACTTTGGCTACATTTTCTTTCTGTCACCTCAATTCCATAGAATTTGTCATCTAGATTTGTTAACTCCAAAGATCTTGACTGTGATTATAGATTACTCATGTATTAAAGAATATTGCAGATTTTGTGGTGACTTAAGAGCTAATCAATCACCTTTAATGGGAAAAAATTATATTTTATTTTTTCTCCATAAGGTAATTTTGGTAAAGTATTCATATTATAGTTGTTATCCTTTTAAGTTCTAATAGTCATGTAATATGTTCTATATGTAGTGAATGATAAATTTAAAATCAGTTGACTTCATTGTGTATAATAACTCCCTAACTTTTCTCTGAATTACTGTTTATTCAGATCACAAGGTTTACATCTGGCACAAACGTAGTGAACTGCCAATTGCGGAACTGACAGGGCATACACGTACAGTGAACTGTGTGAGCTGGAACCCACAGATCCCATCCATGATGGCCAGCGCCTCAGATGATGGCACTGTTAGAATATGGGGACCAGCGCCTTTTATAGACCACCAGAATATTGAAGGTAACACTACTGTGCAATATCCTTGTGTTTTCTCCAAATAAAATATTGCCCAGTTTATTATAAAGTTGCAGTACTTCATGTACAGTGTGGGATATAATTTATTTTCTCCCTCATTTAGAGATTGTACACACCTCACTCCACAAAAGGATGCACTGGTGTTTGGTTTGTTTCATTGGTGACAGTGGGGAAAACAAGGTGGGGCGTGCCACCTCATACATCCACTTAGCTATTTAGTATTATCACTTTAAAAAACCTTATTGAAAATCTTGGTTCATCATGCAAGAAGGCATTTTATACTTTTATGCCCATGAGAACTAGCTAGTATACAAAATCTGAACAACTTTAAAATGATCTTGATCGTGGGTCTTAGTCTTAAAAAGAAACCTCTACCAACGTGTGGCTTATTGGCATGAGCTGTGCGTGATGGACAAGGAGAGAGAAGGGAGTGCAATCCGACATGCACCTAAGTGCCAGGCAGCATGGTGGACCTGCAGACAGTTTTTTCTTTTTTTTTTTTTTTTTGAGAGGGCATCTCTCATATTTATTGATCAAATGGTTGTTAACAACAATAAAATTCAGTATAGGGGGGTCAATGCTCAATGTACAATCATTAATCCATCTCAAGCCTAATTCTCGTCAGTCTCCAATCTTCTGAAGCATAACGAACAAGTTCTTACATGGTGAACGAATTCTTACAGAGTGAATAAATTCTTACATGGTGAACAGTACAAGGGCAGTCATCACAGAAACTTTCGGTTTTGATCATGCAATATGACCTATAAACCATCAGGTCAAATATGAATATTCATTTGATTTTTGTACTTGATTTATATGTTGATCCCACATTTCTCCTATTATTATTATTATTTTTATTTTTAATAAAATGCTGAAGTGGTAGGTAGATGCAAGATAAAGGTAGAAAACATAGTTTAGTGCTGTAAGAAGGCAAATGTAGATGATCAGATGATCAGGTGTGTGCCTATGGACTAAGTATTAATCCAGGCTAGACAAGGGCAGCAAGACATCCACGGATGCAGAAGATTTCTCTCAAAGCAGGGGGGGTGAGGTTCTGAGCCTCACCTCTGTTGATCCCCAAATTCTCACCTGATGGCCCCGCTGCGACTGTGCCTGTCTTAGGTTGTTCCTCCCTTGAGGAATCTTACCCGTCTCTGGCTAACCAGTCATCTTCCAGGGCCATACAGGGAAATGTAAAGTTGGTAGGTGAGAGAGAAGTGCAGACAGTTTATTTTACATAGACACTTTATAGCCCTCTAAGAGAAGTATTTTTGTCCTCATTTCTATGGGTGAGAAAATTGAAGCATGGTAAGACAAACTTGTTGCATGTTACCAGGTCTTCTAACCTGGTTTCTCCCACTACTTTCAGATACTTGGAGGTGAAGAAAGCCCAAAGCCAGAAAGCTCACAAGTTAGGATGTAGCTTAATTGAGCAAGGCATCAAAACTAGAGAAAAGAGATTTTTAGAGATTTTATATAAATGACCTAACTTCTTTTTCAAACACAGCAAGTAAAATATTTAGTTTACTTAGAAGAAAGAAATGTACCTAGGAACACATGAAGAGATTTTTTTTGTTCAGTTTAGTTTACTAAAACCTACATGTTTTATTAAAAAAGATAACCAACTGCTCTCAGGTTGCTCACTGTGGCAAAGGGCTGTCGAGGTGGCATGTGTGGTGTGGAAAAACATGCTCTGTACACTTTGTTTTGTCTTTATGCTATAAACTACACAAAAGACTTGGCCGGGTCTTGCTGGTAGGTGAGGATACACAGCCAAGACAAGGGTTAAAATTAAGCATGAGGGTGCAGAGGGCCATCTGCTCAGAGCCGTGGAGGGCCCTCTTATGTTCATGGATCACAACATGACACTCCACCATCACTGGGAAATCCACCAAAACCCAGTGTCTTTAATTTCTTTTGTTGTCCTGGTTAGGTTTCCAGGCCTGCTCTCTAAGAGCGATGTTTTATGGATCTATAACAGCAATTATATGCGTTTTTCTAACTTGAAGAGAAAGTTGTCTCTTCAAATAAGCGTATTTGACTTGAAGAAGTAGGAAAATATGGGGCATATAGTAACAGACTTGCCTTGTAAGTGGGTCTGTTTATGCCCCCACTGCAGGGGAAGAAAGCTTGCGCTGCTCTTGCTGAGTTGGAGTAATTCAGTGGACGCTCACTGTGCTTGGCGAGCCAATTTGGGTTGGGTCGGTTGTAAGATTGCAGTCCAGCTCAGCACCTTCCCGCTGTGCTTTGGCAACCTAGGTAGAGCCCTGAACATGTTTTCATTTATACCTCCAAGGAAAACAACTTCTGTATAGCTAGATACTTGATTATACACCTTTTATCCGATTACATTCTGGGTTGTCCAAAACCCCACTCATCCTCACCACCCACGTGAGAACTTTTTTATTCTTAAAATATTACCTGTTTGGAATAGAAATTTTGAAGAATATAGATAAGGCTGAAAAGTTAAATTCAAACATCATAACACTCTAAGATACTGTAAGTTATTTAATAAAAATGTTTCAACAACTTCATTTTGAAAAAGAATTTGCTGCCCTTTATTGTAACAGTAGACTTCCATATGGAATTTTTCTTTTCTTTTTTTGAGGAGTAAAGTGGAATAGGATCAAGTACTAATAATGCATGAGACAGCACGGATGACCTTGCACTACACTAAGCGGAAGAAGCCAGCCCTGAGAGCAGTGTTGTGATTGTATTTATACAAAATGGTCCCTGATAGGCGAATCCCTAGGGATGGAAGTAGCCCTGTGGTTGCTTAGGCGTGGGGTGGGTGCCGTGTATGACTGCCAGTAGGTGATGGAAGGTTCTAAGACTGGTCATGGTTGTACAATCCTTTGAACATACTAATAGTAACTATTGAATTGCACACTTTAAATGAGTGCATTCTATAGTATGTGAATTATATCAATAAAGCGGTTGAAACATACCCAAAAAAAAAAAGAGAGAGAGTTGGGTGACGGGGATAATGTCAGACTGAGCCCCTGAAAGGAGAGTGAAGTGCATAGAGCTAGTGCCCATTTTTACCCAGGCTGGCTTTCCTCTTCTCTGCTGTAAACTGTCATAAAGAGTTTCTGTTCTGCATAACTATTTCAAGTCTCATTTTAAAAGTATGAGTTTCCAGTATGATTCCAATATTCACTTGGGTTCTCCAGTATTCCAAATAGTCATGAGTTTAGACTGTAGTGTAAGACAGGCAGATGAATCGTTTGATGATTATGATTAAAGTGTCAAGAACTTGCGTTGATGTGATTCTTGCTTAATGTTACTGTATGTTGTAATGTTGTGATGTGATGTTGACTTTAAAACTTTCTAACTGGTAACTTTTTTCTCCCCCCTCCCGTTTTCTTCCCTCCCACACCCCCTACCCCCCATGCACATTTCATCTTGTCTCCATTCAGAGGAATGCAGTAGCATGGATAGTTGATGGCGAATTTGGAGCAGACGACTTCTGTTTAACTTAAAATTAGTCGTATTTTAATGGCTTGGGATTTGGTGCAAACAAACATGATTGATAGCTGGACAGACATGCTCGTCATGAAAAAAGAACCATTTCTGAAGCCCGAATGGGGCCAAACATTTACACCTTGCTTCATAGTAACCAGTTGAGATGAAGCACGTCGGTAGAACGTTATCGGACACCATGTTGACTTATCCCCCATCGGTTGTGAAGAACTGTGCTACATTCAGGCTTACCCATTGAACTCAGTATATATATTTTTTTCCCTCCTGCCTTTTGTCTGGCAGGATACCATTCTTGTTGCTCTTCTGTGTAATGAAGTTTAAATGCTTGTTTGGAAAACTTTATTTAACAGTTTAGAAGGCTTGATAGAAAGAGTGCATTAGTCTGAAGAGTATACATTGGATAGGAAAGAACTTCCTTCTTTTGTTCCTCCAAATCTTTCCGCCTTATTTAGCTTGAGATCTTTGCAGCTTGGTTCATGGATTCTAGCCTTGCCCATTGCGCAGTATATACTGATCCAGACGATAAGCCAGTGAACTATGTCAAAAGCACCCTCAATATTACATTTGACAAAAAGTTTTGTACTTTTCACACAGCTTGTTGCCCCGTAAAGGGGTTAACAGCACAATTTTTTAAAAATAAATTAAGAAGTATTTATAGGATTAAAGTGACTTCATTTGTATACATTTGGAATCTAAACCAGCTTAAAGACAGTTTCCTCTGACTTAGATACTCAGTGTGATGCTCTTCTGGAATACCGCATGAGACGTGGCCCAACAAGCTTGGAAGGACACTGCACAGGAAACTCAGTGACGCTTTGAACACTTTACCCCTTCTGTTATATTCCTGAAGGACCGTCAGTACCTAATCTTGAAAAAATTCAAGATTCAAAAAGAATTTTAAATATATACCAAAATAAGAGATGAGTAGTCAGTTTAGGTTTTCAACACAGCTGCCCTGAGTTGTTCACAGCTTGAGAGACAGTTTGGTGCAGCCTGGCAGGAGGGTAGGAGTCAGCAGATGCAGCTGCTTGGGAAGCTCTGTAGTATAGTTGAGCTCATTAGAGAATTCAGCAGCTTACAGACTGGGTTTAAAGTCTCATTACTTCTCTTAATTGCCCTTAATATTTTGACACATAGGGAAACACAAAGACTACTCCTTCGCAGCTTTTCAGACCTCCTATTGCCATACCAAACCTCATTATATCCTGGTGCTGTGGGTGGTCTTTCCCTCTTCCCCTTCTAGAGAAAGGTTTCCTTCATGGAAAAGCACTTTTCAGTTTGAGAATTTCACATTTAAAATAAGCCAAAAGCCTGCTGTTCACATTATGCTTTTAAACCCCATTAACAGCTGAATACAAGAAAGACTGAAACTCCCTTTTTTGGTAGAGCATAAGTACTGTGGCCACAGCTGTTCGGTTGGGCAGAGGAGTGGGAATACCCCAAGTAAGGTGCTGGTGATTAGAAGTCTTGTATTAGGTTCCCCTTCTGGCCAACCAAGTCTATATGATGCTCTTACCACAAGTAGATACATTCAAGATCCACAAGGAATAGAAAGGCTTGGATGTCAGGGATTTTTCCATGGGGTGGGAGGGAAGGGGATGGTAACAGGGAGAAATGGGAAAGCCAGAGAGGGCGAGAAGATTAGAGAACAATTGGCCTTAAAATAGCACGGATTCTCCCAAAAGCTCACAGTAAGAGAAAATGACAAATTGTGGGCAGCAGATTGCTTTATCAAATTGGTATGTAGAAGAGTCTTGAAGCCCCATTTTACAGAGACCACCACTTCCTGTTTTGATACTTCTAAGTTAAAACTGTTATGGCTTATCCAATACTCATTCTTCTGAACTAAAACTACGTTAAGCTTGAATAAAAGTCTTCATTGGTAACTGTATGTAAATAAGTGGCAGCTTCTCTTTATCTGAGCACAGTTAAATGCATATTTTAAGTGACGTATACCCCAAAGCCCTTGCTGCACCCACCCGGTCTAAGTAACATCACTGACAGTGTGGGCACAGGCACACCACAACTGTTTGCAGATCTGCTCTCTGTGCTCTAGCTCCTGTAACACAGCTGTGCCCATTCAGGCGGCCTGGCACTCCGTTTCTGCTTCACTTCACCCCCACCTCTCCACCCCACTCCCGCCACTAGATCTGAGTTTTTGAGTGCTTCTTAAGTACAGTTAAGAACAACAGTTTAAAGAAAGTAAAAGGCACATTTTCCAGTAAGCCAGAGTGCCAACTAACATGGGTTTCCACAGCAGCTAGGTGAGTTTGGGTCTGTCTACTGGCAGCTTCCTGTGTAGCGGTGCTCTGCTCTGTGAATTTGCTGTGAACCTGTACCCGGTGCAGTCACAAGAGCTGAGGTAGATGAAGAGACCTAGATTTCATGGTACAGAAAGCCTGACAGGACGGTCTAACCCAGAGCTGTCAGCTCTCTGTAGGCTTAAAGGTGAGAACAGTATGACACCAGCTGCCAGATACTAAGAAATAAATTGAAAAGTACCAATACTTTTTGACCAATAGATCAAAATGTAGAGTGGAGAATTTTGGCTCCAAAAACCAGGTTAGTAGGCTCATTTCCACATACTTAAAAAATGTTTTTGTTATTACTGATTAAGTGCTAAAGCAAGTATGAAATTTAATGTCTTTTTCCTCCAAATAATTGGTTAAAAGCAGTAGCAGTACACTGTTGGGTTTGAGAATCATAAGATGCATGTGTGGGCAGTGACGAAGTATAGCAGGCAGCTGGGACGGATGGCAAAGTTCAGATTTGTTGCTTGTATTTTATTAGTGTTCAGGCCAGCCTCATTTCTGTTACTTCTATTGGCCAGGAAAATGTGTTGTATTAAAGCAGGTAAGTAGTTTAAACAGGAAATCTTATTTGCCAATGTCCCCACAAATTGGCCCATTTAGTGGGTGGGAGAACAAAAAGGGATTATCTAACTTTAAATATAAACTAACTAAGCATGCTAGTTGAAAGGGGAAAAAGTCCAATTTCTGTCACTATTTTCTTAATCTGAAATCACACTGTAGGAACATGGTGATTTACTAGGAGTATTCTCCCTCTAGAGGCATTCCATGACATTAATAGAAAACCCTTCTTTCCCACCTTTCCCCATCTTGAAATTTTTTTTTAGGATGTTGGTTCCTGCACAAGAACTGGCCCTATCACCTCTGCTCACAGTGGCACATGTGTGGTACATCTCTTGAAAGTTTCTTTCACAGCAGAAGAGTGGCTGCTTTTGAATGGGGAGGAAAGATGACATTTTTCTCTTAATATCCTTTTGTCCCATCTCTAAAATGTACAGATGGCTTTAGTGTACTCTCTCAGACTTTAGTGACTCTCTTCTGGGGTTGCTCTCCAAAATAGTACTTCCATTTCAAAAACCTATCTGATTTGATATAAACTGTAAAAGAGGTGAATTTGCATTTACACTTAGTCACTTTCTAAAAACAGGGTGAACCATATTGAAACTTCTTCAGCGTTGCTATTATATTAGCTGCCCTATAGTTGCAAAAACAAACTTAAAACCCATCCCCTATTTACTTAATCCAGATAGCCTGGAATTAATGAAACATAGTATGAAGTAAGTGTGTGTGTGTGTGTGTGTGTGTGTGTGTGTGTGTTGGAAGAGAGGGAGTACTTAATTCATGTGTGTGTGTGTGTGTGTTGGAAGAGAGGGAGTACTTAATTCATAAAAGTCCTGGAAGCTGCTGTTCTAGGTTCTTGTCAATTTTACTACAAGTCTTGTGCACATGTGAAGTGCTCTCTCTGAATTTAAGGTTTGGTTAATACTGGTATATTTTTATAATACTGAAACATGTCCCCATCTTTAACTTAAATGTTTCTATTATCAGGGCCGTGCTAAAACCGAATAGTAACGTTTAAAGGCACAGGTGGAAAAATGTTTTTGGCTCCTTGAAAATGTGTGTGATGAGGGGAATAGACCCACAAAAGCATGTGTGTACTTACTAACCAAGCTGTAGAGATCAGGAAAAGAACCTCAATGTTGATCTCAAGGTTTCTAAATTGTCCAGATTTACATGGCATTGTGGTGGAACTAGTTAACACTTAGAGCTCTTGGTATGTAATATCTATTTGCTATGGACTGATTAAATGTTTCAAAGGATTGTGTTCTTAAATGTGGGGGTTTTTTTTAACTTCCTCTCAGATTACATTTAGTAGTTCAAATTTCTTTGCTTTATTATTTCATTAAAGCATAAAAACTTCAGGTCTCCAATATTTATTTTCACTTGTTCTAATTATTGACAAAACACCTTTTGTTAACTTTTATAAATGTGCAGCATATTAAATGTCTTTACAATTGTGTTAAATTGAACCTATATTAACTTTGATTTGCTTTACTGGGATTTTTTTTTAATACACCTTTTCCATATCAGTGCATAGCTCTTCCAACAGTCGTTTGTATCCCTTTCAATCCAATAAACAGAATGAATAAATGATTGTTGCTGTGTAAAATCTCCTAATACCCAGTTAATCTGATTGTTTACATAGTAGTTTTTACCTGAAACAACGGATTTCCTGAGTTTGACCTCCACATGTACCTGGAGTTTTATGTGGTGTCAAGAACCACAGCCTCACCTATTGGGGCATCTTTTTAAAGAGCTGTTGTGCAGATACAGGTTAATTTAGAGAAATTTAAGGAACATTTGTATTTTAAAGGATTCAGATTCACATGCCCAGTTCAAAAATAGCACTGTGTCTGAAATTAAGCATACAGATTCTGGATATATGGGTCAGAATATATATTTCCAGTTTGAAATTGAAACACATTTCACAATGAATAATGGAGAAAGCATTTGATGTGTACAAACCTCCAGTACATTGTATTTGTGAAAAAAAGAATGAACAATCCAGTGGGCTTTAAGTTTCTTATTAGTAGAGTTTTGCCCAGTGAATGGAAGTTCAAATGTGAAGGAATAGTATTTGGCAGGCAATCAGTGGAGTGTCATCTTAGGAGAGCTGGTCCGCTAATGCGCAGGCCAGGTTCCGCAGGTCTGCTCACAGCTTTGTAAGTCATGGTTTGCAATTCCTCCCTCATCAACAAGCAAGAGAAGCGGGGGCCTTTTTCTACTTGTTTCTATAAATACAGCTATATGGCTCAGATGTAGCTTAGACTGTTCATCCACCTCTATGGTTTCATGCCAGGTCACAGTGTCAGGTATAACAAATTACCCAAACTTAACAAATCTAAGAGTTGTTAAAAAATGCAATTCCCTCCCACTTAAGCAAAAGAGAAGTTGTTCTTCAGTTACATCATTTAGTGACTACCTAAATTTTTTCCAGAAAAACTTTAAACTGCTACAGAACATTCAACAAAATGATCCCATCATCCTGTCACTACTTCAAGAACCCTAAGCGGCTGCTGTTGACTTTGTGGCAGTGACCCTTCTCTCACGAACTTGTACTTCATGCAAGCCTGCTACATATGAAACAGTATTCTAATCATATATTAAATCAGCATGTGATTAGTAGTTAATGCAGCAGATTTTCAACTGAGTTTTGATTTCTGATGTGAGGATGAGTGGCTGCTTTGGCCACTATATTAAATTGATGCAACTGGAGTCCCTCATACACCATTTAAATATTTTTCTTTAATAGCCTCAGAAAAAAGTCTTATTTAAGATATAATCAGCCATGGTAGTAGACCACATCTAGAACAAATTAATGAACATGCTATAAGTTCTTCATTTTAGTGGGGCTTTTTCCTCCTTGTCTTGAATATTGTTAATGCACCTATGCCTTAAAGTGGAGTTCCAATAGTTTCCAAAAATTGAGTAACTTTCCCTCATCCCCCATGCTGAAAAATGCCAATTTGTGGCCTGACAATTCAAAAAAGATCTTGGTGTTATCACCAACTTTCTGAAAGTTATTTTAAGAGAATGAAGAGATGTACTTCTTTCAGATAGAAAACAAGTATCTTTGGATCTTAAAACTACGGTTCAGAAAGGAAACAGATGAACTGCCTGATCCTTTCCTAGGTAGGTATGTTGAAGCGTGCATTCTTTCCTCATTAATAGATTTGCATGAAAAGACGTTCGCCGTAAGTTTGTTTCCTTGTCCACAAGGAACGGACACTAAGCAACTAATCTGGTTTTAATTTCCTCTTTACGTACCTCCTCCTATATATGAGTGCTTATTAGGGACGAATGAACTCCAGCATAAGGAAAGTAGCACTGGGATTCAAACCCATTTGACTCCAGAGCCCTGTGCTATTACCACCTAAATCCAAGAGCATGGGAAACTCAACTGAAGGCTCTTAACTTTCAGATTTTTAAGCCACCTTCCGGATCTTGAGTCAAATTTGTTAACACCCCAGGTATCTCATGTTAGCAGCTGGCACTAATCCATGCATTGGTGGTCCTTGAGGGCCACCAGACTGCTAAATTACTCATGCAGTGAGACCAAGAATTAACAGCAGTAGCCAGAAGGGTCTTGAGAGGACTAACGGCAATACCGCACACCTGCTGGTCACCGAGTGACACTGTCACATAATCAGGTATTCACAGGGTGCTCACTGTAGGCTGTGGCTGTGGAGTGACACCTTTTATGCATTCTCACTGACTTCTCAAGGCAGCTTCATGAAGCAGAAACTCTAGATTCCCATTTACAAAGCCTAGTATGAAGGAGCTGCGACTTCAGGCTCCTGAGCTGCTCTCAACCACTCACCATACAGACCTCCCTAGTCTGCAGATAGCCACCTAGCCCAGAATAATAACCATTTACAGGCTGTTGAAGACAGGTGGAAAGCGTCAGGGCCTACTCTACTCATTCTAATTAACTGCATCATCCATTGAAGAAAATGACACTTTCAAAATTAGGAAACTGTTCTCCATGTAATTAAGGCAATCGATAAAACGGAGTCATGAAGTTTTATTGAGGAAAATCCCCACAATAAATTTTATCTTGACATTTTTTCAATAACTTTGTAGAGTTGCGGTTAAAATCGTGGGTTTTAGTCATCAAACCTGAATACAGATCCTATCATTTGGCGTGTCACTTCAAACAAGTTATTCAACCTGCTGAAGCTTACTTAGTTCCCTCATTTCTAAAAGCAGCTAATGATATCTTATAGAGCAGCACTGTAATATGTGAGAATGCACACAGTAAAACCAATTTTTTTAATTGGTTCTTTTTTCTTATATTGGTTTCAAATGTATGACACAGTGGTTCAGCAGTTACCCATATTATTAAATCCTCACCTCCTCTAGTGCAGTTGCTATCTATCAACATAGATGTTACAGAATCATTGATTATATTCTCCATGCTGCACTACCATTCCCGGGACCAACTTATATTGTGATTTTGAATTACTGTGCCCCTTTAACCCCCTCATCCTCGCCCCCCACCTGCTCCTACCCCTCCCCCTTGGTAACCACCAGTCACTTCTCAGTGTCTGTGAGTCTGCTGCTGTTTCGTTCCTTCTCTTTTGCTTTGTTTTTATATTACACAAATGAGGGAAATCATTTGGTACTTGTCTTTCTCCGCCTGGCTTATTTCACTGGGCGTAATACCCTCTAGCTACATCCATGTTGTTGCAAATGGCAGAGGATTTCTTTTTATGGCTTAATAATATTCCATTGTGCATATGTACCCCTTTTTTACCCATTCATCTATTGATGGACACTTAGCTCGCTTTTATATCTTGGCTATTGCAAATAGCATAGCGATTAACGTAGGGGTGCATCTATCTTTTCAAATCAGGGATTTTGTTTTCTTCAGGTAAATTCCTAGAAGCGGAATTACTGGATTGAATGATATTTCTTTCTTGAGGAACCTCCATATTGCTTTCTACAGCGGTTGAACTAATTTACATTACCAACAACAGTGTAGGAGTGTGTATAAAATTTGTAGTATTTCCAGAATATCTCACCTGGCTTTAGTACATCTGCATATCGACCGGCATTTCTCAGGGGCAGAGAGAAGTTCATCTCCATATCAGTGGGTAAATACCTGGGCAACTGAGGGCTAATCTGAACCTGACAGGTTAGGGGGAGGTCCTGGCTTGCTTCTGCTGCAGTAGAAGAGATGGCCCTGGACTGCAGTTTGTAAGCAATAAACAGGTTTTAAACTTTATTTCTCCCTTTTACTGACTTTGGTTTTAGAGGTATTTTGCCCCGGTATTTCCTCTCCCTGGACTTACAAGGAGGGTTCCCATTTATCCACATCCTTGCCAACATTTATTATTTCTTATCTTTTGGGTAGTGGCTATTCTAACTGGTGTGAGGTGATATCTCGTGGTTTTGATTTGCATTTCCCTAATCATTAGTGGTGTGGAGCATCTTTTCATATGCCTGTTGGCCATTTTTATTCTTCTCCAGAGAACTGTCTGTTCAGGTCCTCTGCCCATTTTTTAATCAGGTTATTTGTTATTTGAGTGTTGAGGCATATAAGTTCTTTATATATTTTGGATGTTAACCTCATATCAGATGAGTCATTTACAAATATATTCTCCCATGCTGCAGGGTGCCTTTTTGTTCTGCTGATAGTGTCCTTTACTGTAAGAAGCTTCTTAGTTGAATGTAGTCCCACTTGTTCATTTTTGCTTTTGTTTCCCTTGCCCAAGTAGATGTGTCCAGGAAAAAATTGCTTATACTTATATTCAAGAGATTTTTGCCTATGTTTTCCTCTAAGAGTTTTATGGTTTCATGACTTACATTCAAGTCTTTGATCCATTTTGAGTTTACCTTTGTGTATGAGGTTAGACAATAATCCAGTTTCATTCTCTTACAGGTAGCTGTCCAATTTACCCAACACCAGTTGTTGAAGAGGCTGTAATTTCACCATTGTATATCCATGGCTCCCTTTATCATATATTAACTGACCATGTATGTGTGGATTTATATCTGGGCTCTCTATTCTGTTTAGCTGATTTACGGGTCTGTTTGTGTGCCAGTACCAAATTAGTAAAACAACTTTTTAAATGATTTAAAAGTATAAAGGATGCAGTTGGCAAAATCCAGATTATTGGAGGTTCTACACAACCAATGACTTGAATACAATGTCAAATGACCCAGTTTCTTCAACGAATTGAAAGTGAAAAAAGGGAACCAAGTACATATATGAGGAGATTTAAGAGATATTATTAACCCAATGAAATGTCAAATCTCATTTGGATCCCAATAGGCACAAACCAAATGTAAAACTTCTGAGCCAGTGGGGGAAATTTGAGCACCAACTAGGCATTTGGTACTAAGGAAGTACTAGTTTACATATGACATTAGTGCTATGGATGTGTGTGTGTAAGAAGCCTTATTATAGAAACAGAGAAAAATATTACCAACAAAGTGATGTTTGGTACTTGCTTCCAAACAGGGTGAGGAAGAAAGGAGAGCAGATTATGGATGAAACAAAGATCCCACAAGTTTAATCACCAGCTAGTAAGATGGCAAATTACCAAGTATACTGACTATTCCTGTTGCCCTTGTCCAGAAAGTCAGTACCTCTTAAAAGCCACCAAGGATCAGGCCTGGGGTCCCTGATGGCATGAGGCACCCAGATGTATTCCTTTGAAGTCAGTCCTCAGGTTCATCTCTCACCCAGTTTGCATCACATCTGCAAAACAGGCTGCCGATCAAATCAAGACCAGTGATAAGATCTGGCTCTAGAAAAAATTTCCTTCTTCAGCTAAATTGACTCCCTGTTATGTTCTCTCTTTCAGAGATTATCCATTTGAGTAGATTGAGCTGTGAGAACAAAGTATTAAGCTCCTTCCTTGTTCAAGTGCCAGCCTCTTGCCCCAAGAGCTAATGGTACTTTGGACAGCAGATAGAAGATGAGATTAAGTCTCCTGGATCCTGATAAAGGCTAGGCCCTGAGAAGCAAACCAGTAATGAGAAGGCTGGCGCACATGCCTACACCCTCTCAACAGCGAACATGGGGGCTCCACCAGAGCACAGAAATTTGAGCATTTGCTAAACCGACTCACACCCTGACTCGGTTCCACTTAGTGGAACTGACAGAGATGAAACCGAGACTGCTCCTTAGCAGATGTAGCTGAACAGCAGAGTAGCCAAGGCAGACCTGGGAGACCCTGGCAGCCATCCGCCCATCCCCAACTCACTCCTCCTGCCCACCACTCCTCCCATGCTCACTCCCACCCAGCTTTGCAGGGACTCAGCAGAGAGCAAACCCCCTCCGACATGGAAGTTACTCCACAGAGCAACATGCCAGGTTAGTGCACAACCCCTTGGCCTGGCCCCCACAGTCCTGAGGGCGGTTGTGACTGTGATTATTGCAGATCATGATGCTAACCCAAGCCTCTGGGTTAGCATGTAACCTGTTCTTAGATTCTATGTATTTAACTAAAACAAAACACTTTGGCTACTACCTTTTAGCATTTTTGTTTAAAGTGTGGCTTAAAATCAAACAGCCTCTCTGACAAGCCCTCAGAGCCAGAGCAGCCCCTTCTTGGAGCATCCTTGTTACCTCAAGTTTCTCTACACCAACATTAATTCAACCTGCTCCACTACACAATAAAATGGTGTATCTGGTTTAAAGTACACTCGGGCGGCAGAAATCTGGATACAAGCAGAGGTTCACTTACCTTCTCTATCTTGCAGCCTGATTCTACATATTAGAACAAGTTTATTTACATTTTGGGGACAATTAAGTACACCTTGTACCTAATACCTTTCACAACTACTCCGCTGAATCACTGGCAAGCAAGCTGATCTCATGAGCCCCCAGGGTACCAAATGCTTGGCTCCCTTTCCGGATGCCTTCACTAAAGGCCTGTCTGGGCTTTGAGGAGGTCCTTGCTGCAGCTTCTCTGATGTAGGAAAAAGGTTGAAAGAGCAAAGCACACCACATTCAGATTTACTGGTTCACACAGTCCTGAGCCTGCTGTTTCCACGGGCCAGGCCCTGGGGTGCAGGGTCAGCAGGAAGCAGCTGCAAAACAGCATGCTCTGCACTCCCGCAGCCCACAGCCCAGAAGTAACTGCAACATCAGATGAAAGAGCTCTGCACCACAGGACAGGAAGTCCAGAGGAAGCTCTCTCTGCTCTCAAGTTCCAATGAAGACCAGGTGAGAGGAGGCAGGTTTAGACTCTCCCTCCACTGTCATCTGTGTGGCATGAAAAGGTGGCTAAGGGGACCTGCCAGGCTTTAAGGAACTGAGGGGCATCTCGGATCTTGGCTTCCCCAACCCTCCTCTGAGGTTCCAGGAATTCGGACACCTGTTCCCAAACAGGACAAAAGGGGAAGGATGCACTCAGATGACAAGGCAGCATATGCGGCTACTGGCAGGCTGGGCCCTGGCGAGGGCAGGCAGAGGCAGGGCGAGTGCCCAGCACCAGCTGTGCAGACACAACCCTGGGCTAGCTCTCTCCCAGGATGACCTCAGAGGTGGGACCACACATCTCTAGCCCTCTGCAGGAACAGGAGGCAGAGAAAAAGCACCCTCAGCGCAGCTTTGCAAGTCAGTGCTTTCTCCCCTTTCATCATTTGTAGAGGAGCTCCTAACAATTACCCTCTTTCCTGACTTTGATACAGAGAAGCAATTCAAGAAAGGTGGCTTTGTTTCTTCTTAAGCAGAGATAATGTTCAGAAGCACAGAGCTATAAACAAGGCACCTTTCTGATTTGCGGGGCTGCACAACTTACTCCTGACAACATGCAAACCAAGAGCCACAGGCTCTCAACTACATGGGGTTCTACTGATTACTAAAAATACTTCAACGAGAAGATAAAACATTTTGGTCAATGTGCTCCACCACCTCTGAACTTCTAGAAGTAAGCGGTCTCTGGGTCCAAGGATTTAAGTTACTCACCAGCCTCCCAGCTTTCAAAGCCTGAGCAGAATGTTGAGAGGAACAGAAGCACAGAAGCTGGGAGAGAGCAGCAGGCAGAAGCTGTTTTCTGAAGACAGGCAGGCACCTCAGAAGGTGCAAGCAGAGTGATACCAATGTTGCATCTTCTCGGCTCTGTGTGGCAGAAACAAGACACCCCTCAGAAGCCAACAGAAACGAGTTTGCTCTGCCTGCCATTTCGCTGTTCCTCTACGCCGTGGCCAGGGCACTGCTTCCAACCTTGAAACGTGGGTCTGCCTGCAGAGGGAGTTTCGCTGACTTCCTGGCTTCTGCCACGGCTAGACCTAGTCCAGGACTGAAAGGACAAGCAACACTTGACCTTTTGGGGACCACACACCTTGTTTGGTTGCCTATTTCTGTTGCAACAGAGTAATAATCCCTTTGGACTCCACTATAAAACAGTCGTGTTTTGCCTAAATGCCAACACTTAAGATAGCAACATTAGAGCATAAACTAGGACTGAGAATAAACTGCGAGGTTCACTTTACCCAGCAAACAGAGCCGAAGAGGTTAACTACTCTCATCAACTCCAACAGCTTTTAAACATAGCTCCAAGGAACCTCGTTTGCAATGGCTTGTACTGGTCTCCCAATTAATTCACTAAGTGGCCAGTGCAGCAGGGGAGAAGCAGAGTACATCTGGTGCCACGCAGAACTCTGGCAGGCTGTTCCACTGACGCTGGACGACTAGCACGTCTCTTTACGACTAGCACGTCTCTTTATAATCCAGAGAGCATCTTCTACCGAACCACCTCCCCAAACCATCAAGTATTTCCAAGAAATCAACTACTGGCTCACTTAGAACACAAAAGCAAGACCCAGAAGAGCCAGTGGGATCAGGTGGGCTTCGGGGAGACTATGGAGGCAGTGGCTTCTAACTGCAGCCCTTGATAAAACTTCGCTTTTTTTATTTATATTCCTTTCTACGAGCAGGAATCATACTGCACCTGGGCAAATGACTTTTAGGGATTCACAAATTCTGCAAAGAAATACATATTTTTAAAAATATCTTCTTCTGTTAACATTCTTATGAAAAGACTTTCAGCTGACAGTCCCATAAATCTTTAACCAGAGTAAATATATGAAGCTGCTACAATAAAGGCAAAAAGGTAACTCACTTCCCTCCTCCTCTGCCCAGATTAACAATGCCATTTTGTACTGACTTTCCAGCATACCTAAAAACCTTGCTCATCATTTAAGTTTTCCCTCTAGGGCATACTCCTCATTTCTTTGGCATGCAAGGCTGGAATGGTAGCCCTGTTCCTACATACAAATAACCATCTTCAACATACAGAGGATGAGAAACACCTTTATGTACAGGGATTCAGGCTAAAGTTGAGAACCAGAAATCTACAAAAACTCAATTTGCATTTTTTAAAATACTTTATATGGTAAAAATACAGCAAAAATACTTTTTTGTTCAAAGAGGAAAATACACTGCTCTGATCACTGTCCCAAGGATGGCATGGGTAGCCTCTGGCTCCTCCACCGTGTACTGTGGTGAGACTGCTCAGGCATGGCACCTCCAGCTTCAGTCATTTATCAAGGCTAAAATCATACTGTGGAGAGAAGAGAGTAACATCAGCAATGTCCCTGTAAGAATGTCCCTTCAGAGTCTGGTCTGCCCAGATGCATATCCCTAGGGCTGAGCAAGGCACCGCACATGAGAAGAAGACAACAATTTACCTTAGAAAGAGTATCTCCTGATGCCCTAATTTTTTCACTAAAAATAGGGGGCCGGTAGAAGACAGGGGTCTGACCTCATACCCGTGTTGGGCTTTAGTTTGGCAACAGTGAGCTCTGTCCAGAGGAAATCTCTGAATTCTCTGCCAGCCCCATGTACATGCTGTCCTTAGGCCTGATGCCCTTCCCTGCACCCCCCACAGCCCAGGAAGCTCCTGCTCCAGGGGCAGGTGGGGTGCATCCTCCCATGGGCTCTAGCTGCCATTTCTGCCACTGGACAAGAGCGGGATCTGGGTGTTGCCACTATGACACCCAAGTCCTGCAAATACCAGGTGCCCAGGCAGTCACTTGATAAACAGTCTACTAAAACCATACCAGTAACAATGGTGATGAAATTATTCCTCTTACAGGAATCAGTCTTGCTCTGCTGAAATCACACAACGTTACATGCACCAAGATACGCCGCCAACACTGATGGTGTAAGGGACCAGCTGTCCCAATCTAACTACACTAAGTGCACTCCATGCATGGCACAGATTAGTGGCAGGAGCTAATATTTTTGAAAGGTTTTTGAGAATTTATCATAGGTCAGCACAAACCTACGTGGTTTACATGCATTATTAGTCCCTGTCACAACCCCAGGTGCTAGGTGTTATTACTATCTCATTTTCAGATGAAGAAATCGAGGCACAGAGAAGTTAAGAAAGCTACCCTGGGTCACACAGTATGTGGTAGAGCCCAGATTCCATTAGGTCAGCACCTAACCAAAAAATCAAAGGCAAAGACTCCACCAATCTCTGCACAAGATGGGCTTGTTTTCCTTGAATTCTGTTTGACAAATGCGAATGTGTGCTTTGTGCAGGAGCACACCAACTGCAATGGGTGACACAGGCAGCATAGGCCCCCACACTGGGGATCTGTGGTTTAGATATAAAGACAATTTTAAACACCAGCAACCAAACACGAAGAGGAAAGTGTTGAAAGGACATCCTCTGAGACTAGTTTTTCATTATGGTGACACCAAGGGATGAGGTTAACTCTAGAAATGGCCATACAGCTGAGGAGAGAAGAAGAAAGGACATAGCTGCTCAGTCAACCCAGCAGCGAAGGCTGTGGAGAACCAGGCCTTACACCTGCCCACAAAGGGTTTCCTGACTCCTCCAACCCCAGTCCTCAGTCCACCTTCCTACTGCTATAAATTCAACCACTGAGAGCTAATAGACTCTGGTGCATCTTTAAATTCTAGGACTTGGGGTCTTCTAAGCAAATAATGCTCCCAATCCTACAGTTACCACCCCAAGTGTGACAGCATGGCTGTCCCCACAGCTGTCTCAAGAGGCCCATGCAATCCAGACCGAGGAAGTGTCCGCTCTAGTTTGCTCTCTGACACTGTCAGACCTGCAGGGGAGGATGATGACAGAATAACTGTGCTATGCTGACTCCAGCTTGCTTTTTCTTTCTTCAGAAACAAGTAGAAAGGAACATATATGATGGTAAAGATTCCTTCATAAATTTGACTTTAAAAAGTAATAAAAATGGGAATAGATGTGTCATTGTGTTCTTATTCTTCCTCTTTAATATTAGGATTAAAAAATTAAGCACATTAACAGTGAGGGAGGATATGAAAACCAGAAACTGACACCCAGGTACTTTCTCTGTCCCAGTTTCTAAGCATAGAAAAGCAAATAAGGTAAACAGTGAAAAGGAAACCATCTTAAACTCATTTCAGTCTAATCTGTGCTGTTGGCAGAATTAGCACAGCAAAAGGATTTTAGCTAAAATGGCTCTGACTTCTGAACTATTTCAGACAAAACAGCAATTTTTAAGACTGCTATCTACAACCTAATTATTAGGAATCTTCCGAGTGATAGTAGTTCAGTTTGTATTTTCCCTAACAGTCCTTATGGCTATGTGAAATATTAAGATTTACCTGGGGGTAAAACAGGAATGATCTAATTAAGCTTGGATACAAAGGTTAGGCCTGACTTCTAGCCTCTTAAAGGCTATTTTATAGCCTCTTATATAAAAAGGGTAATTTAACCAAATCATAAACACATAGCCATTTTTTGCCCCTTCCTTGCTCTATGGGTCTATGATAAAGGAAAAGGCGTGTTTATCTCTAAAGCATAAGGTAATAAATTTAAGTTTAGAACAAGCCTGTGCAAGCCTTCCAGCATCTGACAGCCAATCCTTTGTATTAATTCTTACTTCCAATCTGTTATAACTGGGAGACCGAGGCAATTTTACCAGAACAGACGGCTTAGCATGCTGGAAAATTACACTTGTTCCTCACTGCCAAGAAAGCTCGGCCCAGCTTGGATACAAGTTGTTGACTAATGCCCAAGGTCTCCTTTCAGGACGCGAGTGAGGGGACCAGATCTGACAGCTATATACATTCACGGTTATAACAGGCAAGTGAAACCTCACAGCTAGAGCACCAGGGCAGGAAAAGAAGAGCGTGTTGAAGATCTCAACAGCTAGGGAATAACTAACACCACAGAGCGGCTCTATTGTAGGTCATAGAGAATGCTGATACAACAACACACATCAAAAACCCACAGAGAGGACTTTAAAAAAATACTTTTCAAAAATGAGGATTCAAGATGGCTGCATGAGAGGTGAGATGGAGAATTCCTCCAAAACCACAGATAGTATGAAAATGTAGTTAATTGATACAACTAACCCTAAAACAACAACAAGAAAGAAGGCTGAACCAGACTGCATACAGACCTCATGAACAAAGCAGACCTCAAGAAACAGGGTAATGTACAAAAGCCTTAATCCAGTGGGACCGAGCCCTTCCTCCACCCCAGTTCACCTCCGGGAGGAAAAGAAATGGAGTGGGGGAGGGGGTGGAAGCCTAGGACTGCTGAACACCCAGCCCTGGAGGTCTGCTTTCCAAGCAGAAACCTACACTATGTGGTGCTCTGGACATTGGGAAGCTGGGCAAGGTGGAGTGCTTGAGAGACAGATTTGGGCCATTTGTGGAGGACAGGGATCCACACCCGGCCGCTCTGGGACAAGGGAAAGGCAGGTGGTCTGAGAGGCTTCCTAGCAGCGAGAGGGCTGCTGACAGAGTGGGGTTTGCACAGAGCTTGCTGCGTGGGGGAGAGGAGAGCTGGACAAGGTTGTCTGGGTGCGATCTGCCCAGCTGGTTGGGACTTTGAGGAGCTTCAGGCACCCCATCCCCCTGGCTCCCTACTCAGCTGCGAGGCCCCCCCACTGTGACACACAGCCTGCTGTGCCTTCCTCCTAGCCTGCCAACACTGATTCACAAACCTGACGTCACTGTGCCGGCCTCAGGCCAGCCAGAAGGAGGCCCCACCTACAACAGCTAGAGATGCAAAGCACAGAGGCTTACACCTGTGTGTTTGGCCCACTGGCTCTGACACCACAGACAGGCACCACAGATGGGAATCAGGAATCAGATCTTTCCTCCCCCCAGGCACCACCTCCACTCCCCTACGACCCCAACCTCACTCTAGGGGCTAAGCAGTTCCAGAGCCTGGAGCTTCTGGGCACTAGTGGGCACCACACAGAAATATGAAACATCAAAAGAACATGGTTCAGACCAAAATCTCACAAATCCCAGAAAAAGGGTCAAATGAAACTGAACTCACCAATCTGCCTGAAAGAGAGTTCAAAAGAAAAATCATAAACATGCTTATGGAGGTACAAAAAAATATTCAGGAACTCAGGAACGAATTTAAGTCAGACACTCAATCATTAAGAAATTCCATATCTGAAATGAAACATACAATGGAGGAATTTAAAAGAAGATCGGATGTAGTAGAAGAGACGGTAAATGGAATAGAAATTAGAGAAGAGGAATACAAAGAAGCTGAGGCACAGAGAGGAAATAGATCTCTAAGAATGAAAGAATTTTGAGAGAACTGTGTGATGAATCCAGATGGAACAATATTTGTATTACAGGGGAACAAGAAGAAGAAGAGAGAGAAAAAGGGATAGAAAGTATCACTGAGGAGGTAATTGCTGAAAACTTCCCCAATCTGGGGAAGGAGATAATCTCTCAAGCCATGCAGGTGCACAGATCTCCCAACACAATGGACACAAGGAAGACAACATCAAGACATATAATAATTAAAATGGCAAAGATCAAGGATAAAGACAGACTTTTAATAGTAGACAGAGAGAGAAAAAAGATCACATATAAAGGAAAACCCATCAGGTGATCATCAGACTTCTCAACAGAAACATTACAGGCCAGACAGGAGTGGTAAGATATATTTAATGCAATGAAGCAGTAGGGCCTTAACCAAGAATACTATACCCAGCAAGTTATCATTTAAATTTGAAGGAGGGATTAAACAATTTTCAGATAGGAAAAAGTTGAGAGAATTTACCTCCCACAAACCACCTCTACAGTGCATTTTGGACAGACTCCTATACAAGGAAGTATTCCTAAGGCTAAACAGATGTCACCCAAGGGATAGACAAAGAGTACAGAATATGATTCATAACATACAAAGAATGGAGGAGGAAGAAAAAGGAGGAAAAAAGAAAAAAAAGAGAACCTTTAGGTTGTGTTTGTAATAGCATACAAAATGAGTGAAATTAGACTGTTAGATAGTAAGGAATTACTCTTCAACCGTTGGTAACCAAGAATCTAAAGCCTGCAATGGCAATAAGTACATACCTATCAATAATCACCCTAAATGTAAATGGTCTGAATGCAACACTCAAAAGACACAGACTCAATGAATGGATTAAAAAACAAGATCCGTCTATATGCTGCCTAGAGACTCACTTCAAACCCAAAAACACACACACATTGAAAGTAAAGGGATGGAAAAAGATATTTCATGCAACTAAGAGGGACAAAAAAAGCAGGAGTTGAGTACTTGTACCAGACAAAATAGACTTCAAAACAAAGAAAGTAACAAAAGACAAAGAAGGACATTACATTATGCTAAAGGGGTCTGTCCAACAAGAGGACATAACTGTTATAAATATCTATGTACCCAACACGGGATCACCTACATATGTAAAACAAATACTAACAGAATTAAAGGGGAGAATAGAATGCAATGCATTCATTTTAGGAGACTTCAACACACCACTCACTCCAAAGGACAGATCAACCAGACAGAAAATAAGTAGAGACAGAGGCACTGAACAATGTATTAGAACAAATGGACCTAACGGACATCTACAGAACACTCCATCCAAAAGCAACAGGATACACATTCCTCTCAAGTGCACATGGAACATTTTCAAGAATAGATCATATGCTAGGCCACAAAAAGAACCTCAGTAAATTCAAAAAGATTGAAATTGTACCAACCAGCTTCTCAGATCACAAAGGTATGGAACTAGAAATAAATTACACAAAGAAAACAAAATAGCCCACAAACACATGGAGGTTAAATAACATGCTCCTAAATAACCAATTGATCAGTGATGAAACAAAGCAGAGATCAAGCAATATATGGAGACAAATGACAACCATAATTCAACAACACAAAATCTGTGGGATGCAGCAAAGGCCGTGCTAAGAGGGAAATACATTGCAATACAGGCCTACCTCGGGAAAGAAGAACAATCCCAAATGAACAATCTAAACTCACAAATAATGAAACTAGAAAAGGAAGAACAAATGAGGCCCAAAGTCAGTAGAAGGAGGGATATAATAAAGACAAAAGCAGAAATTAATAAAATTCAGACAAATAAAACAATAGAAAGAATTCATGAAAGCAGAAGCTGGTTCTTCAAGAAAATAAAGTAGATAAACCCCTAGCCAGACTTATCAAAAAAAAAAAGTCTACAAACATAAACAGAATCAGAAATGAAAAAGGAAAAATCACTACAGAAATACAAAGAATTATGAGAATACTATGAAAAATTATATGCTAACAAACTGAATAACCTAGAAGAAATGGACAATTTCTAGAAAAATACAACCTTCCAAGGTTGACCCAGAAAGATACAGAAAATCTGAATAGACCAATTACCAGCAAAGAAATTGAATTGGTAATCGAAAAACTACCTAAGAACAAAACACCTAGACCAGATGGTTTCACTGATGAATTTTATCAAACATTTAGTGAAGACCTAATACCCATACTACTTAAAGTTTCCCAAAAAGTAGAAGATGGAATACTCCCAAACTCATTATTTGAGGCCAGCATCACCCTAATACCAAAACCAGGCAAAGACACCACAAAAAAAGAAAATTACAGACCAATATCCCTGATGAACATAGATGCAAAAATACACAATGAAATATTAGAAAACCTAATACAAAAATACATCAAAAACATCATCCATCATGATCAAGTGGAATTAATCCCAGGGATGCAAGGATGGTACAACATTTGAAAATCCATCAACATCATCATCAACAAAAAGGACAAAAACCATATGATCATCTTCATAGATGCTGAAAAAGCATTTGACAAAATTCAACATCCATTCATGATAAAAACACTCAACAAAATGGATATAGAGGGCAAGTACCTCAACATAATAAAGGCCATATATGACGAACCCACAGCCAATATTATACTTAAAAGCGAGAAGCTGGAAGCTATTCCTTTAAGATCAGGAACAAGACAAGGATGCTCACTCTCCCCATTTTTATTCAACATAGTTCTGGAGGTCCTAGCCACAGCAATCAGACAACACAAAGAAATAAAAGGCATCCAGATAGGCAAGGAAGAAGTCAAACTGTCCCTGTTTGCAGATGACATGATATTATACATAAAAAAACTAAAGAATCTACTCCAAAACTACTAGATCTAATATCTGAATTCAGCAAAGTTGCAGGATAAAAAATTAATAGAAATCTGTTGCATTCCTATACACTAATGATGAACTAAAAGAAAGAGAAATCAGAAAACAATTCCATTCACAATTGCATCAAAAGAATAAAATACTTAGGAATAAATCTAAGCAAGGAAGTGAAAAACCTATACACTGAAAACAATGGGACATGCTTAAGAGAAATTAAACAGGACCCTAATTAAATGGGAATTCATCCCATGCTCTTGGCTAGGAAGAATTAATATTGTCAAGATGGCCATCTTGCCTAAAGCAATCTACAGATTCAATGCAATCCCTATCAAAATACCTACAGCATTCTTCAATGAACTAGAGCAAATAGTTCTAAAATTCATACGGAATGACAAAAGACCCCAAATAGCCAAAGCAATCCTGAGAAGGAAGAATAAAGCAGGCGGAATTACGCTCCCTGACTTCAAGCTCTACTACAAAGCCACAGTAATCAAGACAATTTGGTACTGGCACAAGAACAGAAGCACAGACCAGTGAAACAGAACAGAGTGTCCATATATAAACTCAAGCATATATGGTCAGTTAATATATGATAAAGGAGCCATGGATTACAATGGGGAAATGACAGCCTCTTCAACAGCTGGTGTTGGCAAAACTGGACAACTACATGCAAGAGAACGAAACTGGATTATTGTCTAACCCCATATACAAAAGTGACCTCAAAATGGATCAAAGACCTGAATGTAAGTCATGAAACCATTAACCTCTTAGAAAAAAATATAGGCAAAAATCTCTTGGACATAAACATGAGCAACTTCTTTATGAACATATCTCCCCGGACAAGGGAAACAAAAGCAAAAATGAACAACTGGGACTATATCAAACTAAAAAGCTTCTGTACAGCAAAGGATACCATGAGTAAGACAAAAAGACATCATACAGTATGGGAGAATATATTCATAAATGACATATCTGATTAGGAGTTGACATCCAAATTATATAAAGAGCTGATGCACCTCAACAAACAAAAAGCAAATAAGCCAATTAAAAAATGGGCAGAGGACAGTTTGAAAAAGATATATGCACCCCTATGGTTATCACAGCACTATTTACAATAGGCATGAAATGGAAGCAACCTAAGTGTCCATCAGTAGATGAATGGATAAAGAAGATGTGGTACATATATATAATAGAATATTATTCAGCCTTAAGAAGAAAACAAATCCTACCGTTTGCAACAACATGGATGGAGCTAGACGGTATTATGCTCAGTGAAATAAGCCAGGCGGAGAAAGAGAAGTATCAAATGATTTCACTTACCTGTGGAGTATAAGAACAAAGAAAAAACTGAAGGAACAAAACAGCAGCAGACTCACAGAACCCAAGAATGGACTAACAGGTACCAAAGGGAAAGGGAATGGGTAGAGTGGGTGGGAAGGGAGGGATTAGGGGGAAAATGGGGCATTACAATTAGCACACATAATGTAGGGTGGGGGTCATGGGGAAGACAGTATAGCACAGAGAAGACAAGTGATGATTCTATAGCATCTAACCACACTGATGGACAGTGACTGTAATGGGGTATGTGGGGGGGACTTGATAATGGGGGGAGTCTAGTAACCATAATGTTGTTCAAGTAATTGTACATTAATATCAAAATTAAAAAATTAAAAAAAATCCAGAGACACAAGAAATTTGAATAATTCAAAAGCTCTGCGACACCAATGCAAAATCCCATAGGACTATAATATCTCACCTACCAAAAGTAGGCATGGCATCCAGGAATGTGCCAGGAGGAATGTGAACTCACCTATAAAGGTACATGAAGAAGCAGAGCAAGTGAAAACCAAGCTTGACCATGGCCTCTTTCATGTGTGACTTCAGCTGCCCTCTGTTGTGTATTTCTGTAGGATCAAACACTCCCATGTTACCACTTGGCACCATAATGAACCTGATAAAATGAAAGCCACACAGAAGTAAGTCAAATAATCACCATAAACATTCAAAAATCAGTAACCAATGATAAGCAACCCTAAAAGTGGCAGCAGCTTTAAATTCAATCATGGACTGAGCACTGCAATGATGCCATGGGCCACCAGTTAGCTTTCCTTCAAGACACAACACTCATCATTTTTGGTATGATCTTCTGCCCTCAGAAACAAATACAGTAGCACTTTAGAAAAGCTTACTTTATGCACTGAGACCATTTTATGCATCTTCTTTAGAAAACTACTAAACTAGTCATACCTATGCTATTTTCCATTAGGCACATGTGAAGGGGGCTCCAAAATCATACCATTTTATCAAGTTCTAAGAAACTTCTTCATCTGAAAAGTTCTAAATGAATTAAGGCTCTTCCCCTCAACTTCACATCTTTATAGGGAGGAGTGTCAAATATAATTATTCCCATTTTAAGGATGGAAGCAGAAAGATTCTGTGTCCAGAAAAGAACCCTCACCTTTGGTGTTTCTACTAACACGTAATATGCCTCAATTTGCATGGCTTAAAAACGTACTTACCTCAAAAGAGCAATTTAAAGAAGACAGAGCAGAAATACTTAGCATACATAAATGCTACTGTGAGCAAATATAACTTCTCTTCAGATATGACAGTAAATGGATAGTTCAGACTCAAAAAGCAATGTCTAACTTCATACAACTCTTTAAAAAAAAGGATTAAATGCAGAATGTGTAGTAATAATTTACATATTTTGTAAATATAATAGGTAAAAAATATAATACAATAATAATGTAATACATAATAAAGTATAATAATATGGTAAGAAATACAATAGGTAATATTATGGCAAATAAGAAATGTCCTTTTGGTAGTGGTGGAGGGGTGAGCACAGTGGGAAATAGGAACAGGGCTGCAGGTCAGCACAGAAGAGAAAGGACACCATAAGCACATCTCTAGTTCCACATCCACACCAATTCACCTCAGTGCTCTCAGACTCAAAGGAAACTCCAACTTTTAAAACCAGATCTTGAGGATACCGTGTTTAACTACAGTCTTTTGGGCTCTTCAGACAACCTCTGAGTTTTCATGATTTTTTTTTATTAAGGTATTATTGATACACACTCTTTTATGAAGGTTTCACAAGAAAAAGCAATGTGGTTATTACATTGACTGATATTATCGTGTCCCCCCCATACCCCACTGCAGTCTCTGCCCATTGGTGTAGTAAGGCGCCAGAGGCACTATTTGCCTTCTCTGTGCTACACGGTGTTCCCCATGATCCCCCCCATACTATATGTGCCAGTCATAATACGCCTCAATCCCCTTCTCACTCCCTCCCCAACCCACTCCCCGACCCCTCCCCTTTGGTAAACTCTAGTCCCTTCTTGGAGACTGTGAGTCTGCTGCTGTTTTGTTCCTTCAGTTTTACTTCGTTGCCATACTCCACAAATGAAGGAAATCATTTGGTACTTGTCTTTCTCCACCTGGCTTATTTCACTGAGCATAATATCCTCCAGCTCCATCCATGTAGTTACAAATGTTAGTATTTGTTACCTTCTTATGGCTGAAAAGTATTCCATTGTGTATATGTACCACCTCTTATGTATACATTCATCTACCAATGAATACTTAGGTTGCTTCCATGTCCTGCCTATTGTAAATAATGCTGCAATAAACATAGGGGTGCAATATGTCTTTTTGAATCTGAGAACTTGTACTCTTTGGGTAAATTCCTAGGAGTGGAATTCCCGGGTCAAATGGTATTTCTATTTTTAGTTTTTTGAGGAACCTCCATATTGCTGTCCACAATGATTGAACTAGCTTACATTCCCACCAGCAGTGTTAGGAGGGTTCCCCTTTCTCCACAAATTTGCCAGCATTTGTTGTTCTTAGTCTTTTCAATACTGGCCATCCTAACTGGTGTGAGGTGATATCACATTATGGTTTTAATTTGCATTTCTCTGATAATTACCGATGGGGAGCATCTTTTCATGTGCCTCTTGGCCATCTTAATACCTTCTTTGGAGAATTGTCTGTTCATATTTTTTAATCGGGTTATTTGCTTTTTGGGTGTTGAGATGTGTGAGTTCTTTATATATTTTGGATGTTAACCCCTTGTCAGATATGTCACTTGCAAATATATTCTCCCATACTGTAGGATGCCTTTTTGTTCTGTTGATGGTTTCCTTTGCTATACCGACGCTTTTTAGTTTGATGTAGTCCCAGGTGTTCATTTTTGCTTTTGTTTCCCTTGGCTCAAGGAGATGTATTCAGGAAAACATTGCTCATGTTTATATTCAGGAGATTTTTGCCTATGTTGTCTTCTAAAATCTTCCATGACTTACACTCAGGTCTTTGATCCATTTCAAGTCTACGTTTGTATATGGGATTAGACAATAATCCAGTTTCATTCTCTTGCACTTAGCTGTCCAGTTTTGCCAATACCAGTTGTTGAAGAGGCTGTCATTTCTCCATTGTATGTTCATAGCTCCTTTATTGTATACTAATTGACCATATATGTTTGGGTTTATATCTGGGCTCTCTTGTCTGTTCCATTGGTCTATGGCTCTGTTCCTGTGCCAGTACCAAATTGTCTTGATTACTGTGGCTTTGTAGTAGAGCTTGAAGTCAGGGAACATAATCCCCACAGCTTTAATCTTCCTTCTCAGGATCACTTTGGTTATTTGGGGTCTTTTGTGTTTCCATATGAATTTTAGAACTATTAGCTCTTGTTCACTGAAGAATGCTGTTGTTATTTTGATAGGGATTGCATTGAATCTGTAGACTGCTTTAGGCAGGATGGCCATTTTGACAATATTATTTCTTCCTATCCATGAGCACAGGATGTGTTTCCATTTATTGGTATCTTCTTTAATTTCTCTCATAAGTGTCTTGTAGTTTTCAGAGCATAGGTCTTTCACTTCCTTCATTAAATTTATTCCTAGGTATTTTATTCTTTTTGATGCAATTGTGAATGGAATTGTTTTCCTGAATTCTCTTTCTGCTAGTTCATCATTAGTGTATAGGAATGCAACAGATTTCTGTGTATTAATTTTGTATCCTGCAACTTTGCTGAACTAAGATATTTGTTCTAGTAGTTTTCGAGTGGACTCTTTAGGGTTTTTTTATGTACAATATCATGTCATCTCCAAACAGGGACAGTTTAACTTCTTTACCAATCTGGATGCCTTTTATTCCTTTGTGTTGTCTGATTGCTGTGGTGAGGACCTCCAGAACTATGTTAAATAAAAGTGGGAGAGTGGGCATCCTTGTCTTGTTCCCAATCTTAGAGGAAAGGCTTTCAGCTTCTCACTGTTAAGTATGATGTTGGCTGTGGGTTCATCATATATGGCCTTTATTATGTTGAGGTACTTGCCCTCTATACCCATTTTGTTGAGTGTTTTTATCATGAATGGATGTTGAATTTTGTCAAATGCTTTTTCAGCATCTATGGAGATGATCATGTGGTTTTTGTCCTTCTTTTTCTTGATGTGGTGGATGATGTTGATGGATTTCCTAATAGTGTACCATCCTTGCATCCCTAAGATGAATCCCACTTGATCATGGTGTGTGATCCTCTTGATGTATTTTTGAATTTGGTTTGCTAATATTTTGTTGAGTATTTTTGCATCTATGTTCATCAGGGATATTTGTCTGTAATTTTCTTTTTTTGTGGTTCTTTGCCTGGTTTTGGTATTACAGTGATGCAGGCCTCGTAGAATGAGTTTGGAAGTATTTCTTTCTCTTCTACTTTTTGGAAAACTTTAAGGAGAATGGATATTAGGTCTTCACTAAATGTTGGATAAAATTCAGCTGTGAAGACATCTGCTCCAGGAGTTTTGTTTCTTAGGTAGTTTTTTGATTACGAATTAAATTTCATTGCTGGTAACTGATCTGTTCAGATTTTCTGTTTCTTCTTGGGTCAGCCTTGGAGAGTTGTATTTTTCTAGAAAGTTGTCCATTTCTTCTAGGTTATTCAGTTTGTTAGTATATAATTTTCATAGAATTTTCTAATAATTCTTTGTGTTTCTGTTGTGCACATAGTGATTTTTCTAATTTTTTATTCTGTTTATGTGTGTAGATTCTCTTTTTTTCTTGATAAGTCTGGCTAAGGGTTTATCTATTTTGTTTATTTTCTCGAAGAACCAGCTCTTGCTTTTATTGATTCTTTCTACTCTTTTAGTCTTCTTGATTTTATTTATTTATGCTCTAATCTTTATTATGTCCCTCCTACTGACTTTGGGCCTCATTTGTTGTTGTTTCTCTAGTTTCATTAATTGTGACTCAGACTATTAATAAGGGATTGTTCTTCTATCCTGAGGTAGGCCTGTATTGCAATATACTTCCCTCCTAGCACAGCCTTTGCTGTGTCCCACAGATATGTGGTGTTGAATTATTGTTGTCATTTGTCTCCATATATTGCTTGATCTGTTTTTATTTGATCATTGATCCACTGATTATTTAGGAGCATCTTGTTAAGCCTCTGTGTGTTTGTGGGCTTTTTTGTTTTCTTTACATAATTTATTCCTAGTTTCATACCTTTGTGGTCTGAGAAGCTGGTTGGTACAATTTCAGTCTTTTTGAATTTACTCTTTTTGTGGTCTAATATATGATCTATTCTTGAAAATGTTACATGTTTCCTTGAGAAGAATGTGTATCCTGCTGCTTTTGGGTGTAGAGTTCTGTAGATGCTGTTAGGTCCATCTGTTCTAATGTGTTATTCAATGCCTCTGTCTCCTTACTTATTTTCTGTCTCGTTGATCTGTTCTTGGAGTGAGTGGAGTGCTGAATTCTCCTAGAATGAATGTATTGCATTCTATTTCCCCTTTTAATTCTGTAAAAATCTGGAACGCTTCACGAATTTGTGTGTCATCTTTGTGTGGGGGGCATGCTAATCTTCTCTGTATCATTCCAATTTTAGTGTATGTGCTGCCAAAGCAAGCACATTTCACGTTTATTTAATATCACTATGTGTGTAACAGTTTATAATGATAGCCTTCTCAAAAGGATTCCTTTTATAAGTATAGAAATCAATTACTTGAGAGGATCAATGATTTTAAGTGTCTGGGCTTCAACATCTAGACTGTGCCATTTTTGCAACACACATGCCCTAACCTAGCCCTGTTCCTGGCCTCTTCCTGCCCTCATGTCTAAGTTCCTTCTAGTCCAACTTTGACTTCCTCACTTTGCCACACACTTGTTTCTCAACTATGACTTCTGTGAAGTGCCAATGCCTCTCTGGGTTCCACAATCTTAAATTCTCCCCCAAATCCTAGTAGTCTGGCTATAGCTGAATAGAGGGTATCTACATTTGAGTCCCTGGATAACATCTCAGCTTGGATGGTCTCCCAGAGTCTTGTCCTTCTCTGATTTTTAGGTTATCGAACAGCAGCATCACCATTTTCTTAAAAACTTTCTCCTAGTGGCCCTGACAGCCTCACCTTCATCATTCATAGGCAATAGGTCAAACTTTTGTCCAGTCTTCCTATTACCACTTCTCCAGCCATATATTTTACATCCCACTATCACAACCCTGTTTGACATTGTGTTACCTCCCCCCAGTCTCTGAACTGGTTTCCCTACCTCCTGGCTTCCAGAGGTATCTTACCAAAGCATAGTGTATTTCATGTCAACTTAGTTAATCAAAAACAAATAGAGCAAAGAAGGTATACGAATACTCAGTATCATTAGGTATTAAGTAAATGTAAATGAAAAGCACAATGAAATACCACTTCACTCCTTATGGGATGGCTAAAATAAAGAATATACACAACAACAAGTGTTAGCAAAGATGTGGAGAAATTGGAAGTCTCATACACAGTTGGTGGGAATGCAAAATAGTACAGCTGCTTTTGAACACTCAGGCAGTTCCTCAAAAGGTTAAACATAGTTACCATATAACCCAATAATTCCACTCCTAGGAGAAATGAAAACATGCACATGAATATTCGCAGAACTATTCATAACAGCCAAAAAGTGGAAACTTAAATGCCCATCAACTGGAAACAAATGTAATACATCCAATGGAATATTATCCATGAAAAGAAAGGAAATATTGATACATGCCACAACATGCATGAACCTTGAAATTATCCTAAATGAATGAAGACAATCATAAAAGGGCAGATATTGATCTCTTTTATATGATATGCTTGTCCAGAGGAGAGAGTTTCAGAGACAGAAAACAGACTGGTGGTTGTCTAGGGCTGGGACGGGAGAGAACAGGAGCGACTGCTCATGAGTACAGGGCTTCTCTTTGGGGTGATGAAAATATTCTAAAGTAGACTGTGGTGATGGCTGTTTAATCTACAGATACATTAAAAATATACTGAACAGTAACATATACTACCAGTACTCATATTTATATATAAACTCCTTGGATCGATGTTCAAGGTTCTCTGCAATCCATCCCCATCAACATTTCTAGCTTTGTCTGTTACTGCTCCCTCATCTCCATGATTTCAACCTAATCAGTCCTGATGTGCCTTGTGTCTGCTCCTCCTGACCTCTACCCCTCCCCTCATCCTTCACAGCCCATAGAAGTCTCTCCACTTCTTTGTCAAACATTATCCATCCTGTAAGGCTTGCTCAGACACCACCACCTGCGTGAAACTGTCCCAGGCCACAGTAAACCACCTCTCCTCCTCTCCTCCCAACTTTAGTATCCTCAGCACCCATCTGGTGCTGCCTTAACCCATCTCTTAAACTGTTATCCAATGTCTGCCTCTTTGTCTGTGGATGGGATCCATTTCATATATGTCTGTATCCTCAAAGGCATAACGCACAGATGTCTGAAAAGAAGAAATGACCCTCCTGTCACACAGAGGGTAAATTTGTGACCAGCAGTCAATCTGTCACTGCCATTATTAGGGCAATAAACACACATGACCTTTGCCTTTTTAATTAGAGGAAACAGACCCTATGGACCTTACTGCCCCCAAATAAAACTTCAGAGAGCCATCCACCACAGTCTGCCCTATGCACAAAGAAGCCACACCAAAGCCTGTCCCCCTTCTAGCACCTTTCCACCCCCAGGGGAGATGCCTCATGGTGTAGTCTGCAACATCATCATGATCCACAGCCTCAGAGGGTCCTGCTCTCCCCCCCCCGCCAAATCTGTGTTCGACTTAGTGGAGTCACAGGGCTCCTGAGCTCACCAGCAGTGTGGGCTTAAAGCTCACCAACAGTGTGAGGATCTGCATTGCCAGTACTGAGCTCAGGCTGGGGTGTTGGGTCTATAGGCGATCATAGGAGAGCAATAAGAAACTTAAGAGAAAAAAAAAATTCTACCACTCCAGACCTGCCCTCCGAAAAAGAGATACAGAGATTTAAAACCTTTCCCCTAGCTCAGGTTCTAGCTCATGACCTTTAAGATTATTTCCCCATCTCCACTTGCCCCTCAGCTCCCTGCTTATCCTTCACGTCCTCATGTGCTTTCTGGCCTCCTCTGCCCCTCCTTTATTCTTTTCTGTGTCCTTCTTATTCTAACTATGCTTTCTCTGATGCTTAAAAATCATCTAATGAATGATTTTATGAAAAAAAAACTAGATATAAATAAAACTCAAATAAAATCTAAGAATTTAGTGGAATAGAAATCCACTAACATAAAAATAATCCCAGGTTTGTCAACATTATTTCATAGTTCCATCCATAGAAAATATGAAGTGTAAACGGTCCAACCATAAAATTATATCCAATTAGTGCTTACAGTGAGCTATGTTTGAACAAATTTTATTAGGTCAAAATTTTGATGTTATCTAATCTGCAGGGGTTTTTTATTGAAGTATCATTGATATACAACTAATATTGGTCTCAAGTATACAACACAGTGGTTCCCCAGGTGCCCATATTATTAAAACCTCACCCCCTGTAGTGCAGTTACTACCTGCCAACATAGGAAGATGTTAGAGAATCACTGGTTGCATTTTCCATTATCTAAACTACAGGTTTTTAAAAAGAAATTTTCTCTGGAGCATTCCAAGTACACTTTACTTAAAAACTGCAGATACAAATAAAAGGACCTTATAGTCTTAAGCTTTTGATCATTCTTAAAGGAAAGATATTCAAGACAATAAAAAAAGTTCACAACTCTTTAAACATCACAACTAAACATTGTATATTTTTAGAATCTACACACTTAAATTTGTATTTTTACTACAAGACTGAGTCATGCAAATTGCTACTTGTTCAGTATACCAAAATGAACAAAAATTTATGCTGATTTAATGAAGCATTGTCACTTATTTTATAATCGGCACATATTTTACTGAAGAAGAGAAAGCTATTAAAATGTTTTAAGTATTTTTTCTTTTAACTTCCTTGACACAAGTCAGTAAACAAACTATACTCACCTATATATATTCCAAGTGGCAACAGGCAAGTTGAGAAGGAAGATGAACCAGTGCAATGAAATGAGCATCAACACAGTGACAATGGTATGGCCAATCAATTCTGGAATTATCCACTGCAAGAGAAGAACACTGTATTAAATTTCATTGCTGTATTCTTCCTGAATGTACATGTTACTTGACGCTAAATCAATGAATATACAGAAAACTTACAAGCTAGTGTTTCAAGATTATTTTTAGATTATGTCCCAGATTTGCATATTATCTTAACTTACCCCATGCAAGCACATCAGGGCACCGCTTAAAAGTAATGCACTTAAATTTCGATTATGTTTTACCCTGAGCAAAGGTTCATTTACTAAGCAAGTTTGAATGAAAAGCAGAATATTATATACTTTTTATTCCAATATCTGTGTTAAAGCCTCTTACTCTAATTTAGAATGATTTATATCCACATTCAGGCTGTCTTTCAAGTTAGAATATCAAGCTTAAACATTTTTCCAATGTGCAGAATCCTGAGGAAATCATTTCACAGTCACCATTTTAAAAAAAAAGGACTTCAACAGCTTACAGTAACAGCTCAAGGTTGAACAAATATGGTAATGAACCAAGACAGCAGAATCCCAGCCTACTGCCTATAGAGCACCCAGGGCAATATTCTTGTTCTCATGCATCTCAGCTATCATGGCAGCTCTAATTCATCAAGTCTTCCTCTCTTATTAGTAAGGGTTTTTCTTTCAATGGAAGTTAACAGTTAATATTCATGGAGCCAAAAACTGGCACTCACCACTTGCAGAAAATAGGAAAATAAAACTCAGAGAGGTTAAGCAATTTTCCTAAGATCACACTGGCAGAGCAACAATAGCCTAGACACACTGTCCCCAGGTCTGTTGCATTTAGATTTTAGGTACTTTTTTTTGTAAACAAAGAAGAGGGGATTTTCTAGGTCCTAAACCTAATTTGGAATCATCTGTAACTTTTTAATATGTAATATGCATTTTTTAAAAGTGTAACCAATTTAAAATAATGCTCACAAACAAGAGCTGCAAAGCCAAACAAACCTGTAGTGGAATGTATTATTTATTTATGCTCTATTATATTTATTAGCTGTGCAATTTAGGAAGAGTTACCTACCCTCTCTAAACCTACCCTCTCTAAACCACTATTCTCATCCATGAAATGGAGACAATAATACCCACACTTCATGAAGCTGTTGTAGAGAATTAGATGAAACTCATGCAAAGCAAGCCCTCCATAAACGGTAGATGGAGAGCTCTTCCTCACCCCACTCTCAGATCCACCCATACAGCAGTAGCCTTCAGACTCTGGATCTCTTGCTGTAGACTGCAATCATTTTATTTTACATAGATATAAACCTAAGACAAAGTTTTAGGAAGTGACACTCAACCTTATCAGGCTTGGTGTACTGACTTTCCACCAAGTTCTCTGTTTTCTTTCTCTTCCCTTACAAATGTGTTCTTCCTCTAACTTGTCAGAATACTAGCACTAGGCTTACACCTTAGCCAAGAGCTTGGAGGAGTCTTTTCTGGAGTAACTTAATGGCACAAAAGAAAACCCCAAAAAAACTGCCATTTCAGGTACCCCAACAAAAGTCCAATTACCCTCCACTCCCATATCAGTTACCCTCCACTGAAGTCTACCTGCCAGCTAGTCAACAGCCTGGACCACCAATGCACTTCCCATGAGTGTTTCAGTGCTTTATCCTAAGTATGACTAGCCTTGTATTGAAAATTGAGGACAGTCTCCAACATAAAAGAGGAAAAATGTGCAAGGAAGTTGGAGGAAACAGATATAAAGGAAGGAGGCAAAAGAAAACGTCAAGCCAACTATAATCAATATTCTCAGGGAGCTAAGGGAGTCACATGGGAACCAAGAGAACAAAAAGCTCTTAAAAATTAAAATTTTAACATAAATGACATATACTAGAAAATTCAGAAGATAAAATAGAAAGGCTTTAAAAGGCTTAAAACAAAAAGGCTAAAAAAAAAAAAACACCAAAGGAATAAAAATAAGAAAAAGAACTGACAGATCAATCCAGTAGATGAATTACCCAGTGAAAGAAAGTTTGTTGAAAAAGAAAAAAGGGGGAAGACATTATCAAAGACAGAACACTGTTCAGATTGAAGAAGCCTATCAGATGTCCAAAATAATGAATAAAACCCACAATGTTGCTCACGTAATTATAGATTAATGATACCAAAATAAAAAAAATTTTTTTAAAGAATGAATAAAAGGCCTAAATGAAGGTACACAGTGGTATACCACTATAAAGTTCCAAAACACCAAGGATAAGGGAAAGATTCTAAAACTTATGGAGAAGGCAAGATGGAAAAAAAAGAAGAGAGAAAGATCATAAAAAAGGATTAAAAATCAAAATGGCATCACTTCCCAACTTGAACAACACCAGAAGTGAGAAGACCACCAAGTAATGTCTTTAAGGCTCTTTAAGAAAAATCCTAGAATTCTATCTTAAAGAAACTGCTACTCAAGGGTGAGGATAAGACATCTTAAAACATGCCAGGCCCCAAAATTTAATTCCCATGCATCATATCTTGAATACTAAAACAAAATGAATTACTAAGCCGAGAGAGAAAGATAGGATTTCTGAGAATCAGGGGATCCAGACACAAGTCCTAGAATGAAAGCTGTGAAACAGGCCTGAAGCGCAACCAGGAAAAGTGCAGAAAAGGATGGAGGGCCTGAGGAGAAATGTCACCTGGAAAAACACTTGACTGATAGATCATGTTAACACGTTTGAACATGTAGAAAATAGTACTAAAGGGCTTTAAAGATGTATCTGAAAAGACTGAGTAACAGGTAAATAAAAAACTAAGGACATAAAGAAATGTAGCAATTATTAACCTGGGAAAAACAAGTATCCAGAAAAAAACAAAAGAAAAATATGATCACTGTCTCTATGAGGCTCATCAATAAAAAATATGCATACTATAAACAGTATATCACAATGATGTAAACACTAAATATCCATTTAAAACTCTCCATTCCCCCCAAAATAACAGAAAAATGGAGATGTTCAAGGAAGGGGTACCTAAGAACTACATCTATCATACTGCAATAACTAATATTTAAAACTGACAAATCAAGAAATGACAGTACAAGTGTATAAAAGAGAAATATAGATACAAATACCAGAAAAAAATCAACATGTCAAGTGTTGAGATCAGTTGCCCTTAAAAAGACAGATAGGATGTAAAGGGGTCAGTAAGGGACTGCTGTTTTTCACCGTCAGTTTTCACCTGACTTTAGTTGTGGGAAATTATCACTTCCACAATAACATTAAAAAAATGGCTTAACCTCAAACTGAAGGAGTAACTTTGTCAGTAGAAGAATGCAGATAATCGTTTCTTGGTATTTATTTATTTATTTATTTATTTATTTTTTTTTTATTTTTTTTTTGAGAGGGCATCTCTCATATTTATTGATCAAATGGTTGTTAACAACAATAAAATTCTGTATAGGGGGGTCAATGCTCAATGTACAATCATTAATCCATCTCAAGCCTAATTCTCGTCAGTCTCCAATCTTCTGAAGCATAACGAACAAGTTCTTACATGGTGAACGAATTCTTACATAGTGAATAAATTCTTACATGGTGAACAGTACAAGGGCATTCATCACAGAAACTTTCGGTTTTGATCACGCATTATGACCTATAAACAATCAGGTCAAATATGAATATTCGTTTGATTTTTGTACTTGATTTATATGTTGATCCCACATTTCTCCTATTATTATTATTATTTTTATTTTTAATAAAATGCTGAAGTGGTAGGTAGATGCAAGATAAAGGTAGAAAACATAGTTTAGTGCTGTAAGAAGGCAAATGTAGATGATCAGATGATCAGGTGTGTGCCTATGGACTAAGTATTAATCCAGGCTAGACAAGGGCAGCAAGACATCCACGGATGCAGAAGATTTCTCTCAAAGCAGGGGGGGTGAGGTTCTGAGCCTCACCTCTGTTGATCCCCAAATTCTCACCTGATGGCCCCCCTGCGACTGTGCCTGTCTTAGGTTGTTCCTCCCTTGAGGAATCTTACCCGTCTCTGGCTAACCAGTCATCTTCCGGGGCCATACAGGGAAATGTAAAGTTGGTAAGTGAGAGAGAAGCCATATTGTTTGCAAAGGTTAGCTTTTTACTTCTTTGCAGATTTATGCCCTGTGGCTTCTATGCCCAGCACTTGTCTCGAGGTATCTTTACCACCTGGAGGAATTATGATACTCGGTAAATTCGATATGAGGCACGAATTCTATTTAAGGGTTGTAATTAGGAAGGAAGAAGAAAAGCTATAGATGTAGCATATGAAGGAAACTTGGGAGGATTGATTATTTCTTTGACATATCTTCTTGTATAGTACCTTAAGTATGTATAGGTTTTAAACTACTAACTAATTTGCACACACATATTAACATAATAGGAATACGGTGACATAAACAAAGCAAATCTATAATTACCAGCCATCTCCAGTGAAGCCAAGAAAACCATTTAGGCACCCTAGGCATTTGTGAAAATTTATCTATGATATGATGGATATTTTCCAACTGTACTTGAACCATCAGACAAATTAAAGCAGCCCATTTCTGGGATCTGTTCACATCCCATATGTTCTTTTAACCATAGATAGTCTATAGTCATGAGATTTTGGGGTGCTACAACTTGCACCCCTCCCAACTCCTGGTTGAGTTCCAACAGTACAGATCCAGTCAAATTCGTTGTCTCACTGTATGCACATGCCAGCCTAGACATCTCCCTCCTCCTTCTTATGGCAAGTCCAGGAGACGGTGGGCTGGATGCAGCCACAACCGCAGCATCGTCCGGATCCCTGTGGAGGCTTTTTGATGATCATCCCCCGGCACGAGTCCTCCAGAGAGTGCTGATGCCGGAAGCTCCTCCTCATATCGTATCTTAGTTCATTTTCTGGGTATCCAAGCTAGGCCTTGATCTTCTGCGTAGAAACAAACAGACCCTTTGCCCACACTTTGACATGCCCTCTATACCACTGTGCAGAACTCATTGGAGGTCAGCACACAGTAACTGCTTTTTTTTTTTTTTTTTAATTAAGAGAAAGGAATATTA